GGCCAATGGGCGGAAGTCTGTGGTCCGAAGATCAGCCTGGATGAGGTGGCCAAGCAGGCTCAGACCATCAGTTACGAAATTCTGACTGGCTTAGGTCGTCGTTCAGAACGGGTCTACCTTGAGGGCGTGTTGAAGTAGCCGCCACGTTCAGTACGCGCAGATATTCAGCGTAGTCAGCGGCAGCTTCCTGATATTCACCCTGGGCGCGAAGAGCCAGTGAGCGGTTGTGGTACAACGCAGCTGTCAGGTCGAGCTGCTGAGCAGACTGTTGTGTGGCCATCAGCCCTTTGCTGAAAGCATCCGTAGCGGCAGCAAAACTGTTTTGTCGGATCAGAACTGCGCCCCAGTTATTCAGCACAGAGGGGTCATCTGGCGCAATGCTCAGCGCGTCTTCAATATAACGCCTGGCTGACGCCAGATCACCCTGGCCTGAACTCAATTTGCACATGGCAGTGAGAATCTGCGCTCGTATGGCCGGTGTGTTGTTGCTGGACAGTGCAGCTTCGCAGCGCCTCAGCTTGTCTACGCCAAAGGCAGCGGTTGGGCTCAGGCACTGCTCGAGGTCTGCGCTAACTGATGCGCGGGATAGCTCGATTTGCGGGGTAGGGTTTTTGATACGTATATCCACAGCGCTTTGAGCGAAGCTGGCAGCAGCGAGGGATAAACACAGGGCGCCTGATATCAGTTGGAACAGCAACACGACAACTTGGAGTGAATAGTTAGCCGTCATTGTCGTACAAGCCCGGCGTGTGCCGCAACCACTGCCAGCGACGCCAGGGCTGGGTTAAGCTGGGGCTTTGTCGAACGGGAGAAGATTATGGTTCAAGGGGTGAACAAAAATGGTGTGCTGGCGGGTCAGGTTGCACTGGTGACCGGTGCCAGTCGCGGTATTGGGTTGGCCATAGCGAAGCGATTTGCCATGGAAGGCGCCAAAATTGTTGTTACCGCGCGTACTGTGTCCGCAGATCAACATTTTCTGCCAGGCACCATTGCGGAGACTGTTGCGCAAATCAATGATGCTGGCGGTGAAGCAATTGCGGTGCAGGCCGATTTGGGTGTCAGTGAGGACAGGCATCGTTTAGTCGCCGAGGCTGAAGCTGCATTTGGTGGCGTGGATATCCTGGTGAATAACGCTGCCATTACCTATTTTATTCCGGTTGCGGACTTTCCGGAAAAGCGCTTCCGCCTGATGATGGACGTTCAGGTCTGGACGCCGTTTGAGTTAGCCCAACTTGTCCTGCCAGGCATGCGTGAGCGCGGTCGAGGTTGGATTCTTAATGTCTCTTCGCATGCGGCGATTCACCCGGAGAAAACCATGCCGGGTCGCGGCGGTACAGTCTATGGCATGTGCAAAGCGGCACTGGAGCGTTTTACGACGGGGCTCGCACAGGAGCTTTATGATGAAAATATTGGTGTCAATGTGATCTCCCCTGGCCTGGTAGCGACGCCGGGTGTCATGCATCACAAGCTGATTAACGAGCAGAACAAAGATAACGTAACGCCGGTGGAACATATGGCTGAAGCCTGTTTGAGACTGTGTTACGGAGATCCTAAGGAGCTCACCGGGCGCATCGATTACGCCGACGCCGTGATGGAAGAATTTAGCCTGGAAGCCGCTGAACTCATCTAAAAAGTAAATGCTTACTTACGCTTTGCGGCCTCTGCTGAACGGATTGGTAGCTCGGTCTTTTTGGTGACGGTGCGCAAAGCGAAGCTGGAATGAACCCGGTCTACACCGGGTAGCCGGGTCAGATGCTGGCTGTGCACGCGCTCGTAGTCGCGTGCATCAGCCACCACAACCCGCAGCAGATAGTCGGCATCGCCACTCATCAGGTAGCACTCCATCACTTCAGGTAATTCCCGCGCTTCGGCCTCGAAAGCTGCAAGATCGTCCTGCTGCTGGCTGAGCAGTGTAATCCGCACAAATACATTATCGGGATAGCCGGCGCTGGACTGGTCCACCAGGCCGACATAACCGCGTATAAAACCACTGTCCTCCAGCGCTCGTACACGCCTCAAGCAGGCTGACTCAGACAGATTGACCCGCTCCGCCAGGCCCGCGTTGCTGAGCCGGCCATCTGACTGTAGTTCATGCAGGATTAAACGGTCTATTCGATCCAGGTCGCTGTAAGTTGTCATAAAAATTACTTTTATTGAAAGAATCTTGCGTCTAGATCTTATTCGAAGCAAACAACGCAAGGAACCCTCTATGCAGCTTTCGTAAACTGTCGGTTAAGCGAAACCGGGCCCTATTTCAGCCCTTGAAGGAGTGAAGCTAATGCGTATCGGTGTACCAAAAGAGACCAAGGTTCATGAATATCGAGTGGGGTTATCACCTGCCAGCGTGGGTGAACTGAACGCTCATGGGCATGAAATCTGGGTAGAGACAGATGCCGGCACCTCGATCGGTTTTGATAACGATCATTATCGTGCGGCAGGGGCAAAAATTGTTGACAGGGCAGCCGCCTTCACAACAGATATGGTGGTGAAGGTTAAAGAACCTTCGCTGGCTGAGTGCGCGCAACTGCAGCGGGATCAGATTCTGTTTACCTATCTGCATCTCGCTGCAGCCCAGGCACAAGCCCACGCGCTGATGGATCGTGGCGTCACTGCGATAGCTTACGAGACGGTCGAAGATGCCGCTGGCCGCCTGCCGCTGTTATCACCGATGAGTGAGGTGGCTGGTCGGATGTCAATTCAGGTAGGCGCCTACGCTTTGCAGAAAGCTGCCGGTGGCCGAGGTACCCTGCTTGGTGGTGTGCCGGGTGTTGCGCCGGGGAAAGTGGTTATTCTCGGCGGCGGCATGGCCGGTACCAATGCAGCGTATATGGCGGTCGGGATGCACGCGGATGTGACTATTCTGGATAAGTCTGTCGACCGATTGCGTGCTTTGTCGACAGAGTTTGGCGGTCGCGCCAAAGTGTTGATGGCCTCGCGGGAAAATATTGCACAATGTGTACGCAGCGCAGATCTGGTGGTTGGTGCGGTATTGGTGCCCGGCGCAAGTGCGCCAAAGCTGGTGGATCGGCTTTTGTTGAGTGAAATGCTGCCGGGTTCTGTGCTGGTGGACATCTCCATTGACCAGGGGGGGACTTTTGAGTCCAGCCGTCCGACCTCACACGATCAACCCACCTACATTGACCAGGGTGTTGTGCATTACTGTGTGACAAATATGCCCGGAGCCGTTGCGCGCACCGCGACAGAAGCCCTGAACAACGTCACCCTGCCTTATGTCCTGGCCATTGCGGATAAAGGTTGGCGCGTTGCTCTGGCTGATATCCCTGGTTTTGCTAAAGGTCTGAATGTCTCCGAGGGTCGCATATGTCATCCGGAAGTTGCCAAAGCGCTGGGGATCGATAGTCCACTGGCGGCTTAAGTTGTGCGCCACAGTGGGTTGTGGGACGCTAGCGTGAGCTAAACGGTTTACGAGGGTATGCAGTGAAAGAGGTACCGGTAAGTACATTACATAACGAGTTTCCACCGGGGTCGGTGGAGGCGAAAGACATGCAGCACATGCTGCACCCCACCACAAACCTGAAGCTGCACGCGCAGAAGGGCCCGCTGGTGAACGAGCGTGCCCAAGGCGTTTACATGTGGGACAACCATGGCAAGCAGTACCTTGAAGGGATGGCCGGTCTCTGGTGCACCGCGCTGGGATACGGTAACGAAGAGCTTGCTGACGTTGCTGCCCAGCAGATGAAAAAGATGTCGTACTCACAGCTCTTCGCCGGTAAAACTAACGAGCCGTCTGTGTTGTTGGCGGAAAAGCTTGTCGCGATGGCCCCATTCGATGCATCAAAGGTTTTCTTCGGTCTTTCCGGCAGCGATGCAAACGACACGCAGATAAAGTTGATGTGGTATTACAACAACGCTCTGGGTCGGCCTGAAAAGAAAAAGATCATCAGTCGTACGCGCGGTTATCACGGGGTAACCATAGGCAGTGGTTCGCTCACAGGTCTGCCGGCTTTTCATAATGCTTTTGATCTGCCGATGCCTGGCGTTGTGCACACGGATTGCCCGCATTTTTACAGCGAAGGTCACCCAGGGGAAACTCAGACGCAGTTCGTTGATCGAATTGTTAACAACCTGGAAGAGCTGATTTTAACCGAAGGCCCTGAGACCATTGCTGCGTTTGTGGCTGAACCGATTCTCGGTGCAGGCGGAGTGATAGTGCCGCCTGCAGGTTATTACCCGAAGGTTCAAGCCGTGCTTGATAAGTACGAGATTCTCTTCATTGATGACGAGGTTATCTGCGGATTTGGTCGTACCGGGCAAGCTTTTGGTGCGCAAACCATGGACATAAAACCTACTACCATGAGTGTGGCAAAAGCGCTTTCTTCGGCTTATCTGCCGATCAGTGCGGTGCTGCTGCCGGAGTTCATGTTTGACGCCTTTACACAGGTCTCAGATGAACTTGGTGTGTTTGGGCATGGCTTTACCTACTCCGGGCATCCGGTCTGTGCTGCGGTCGCGTTGCGTAATCTCGAGATTATGGAGGAGCGCGCCCTGTTTGCCCACGCCGCCGATGTTGGCGCCGTTATGCAGTCTCGATTGCAGGAATTTGCCGATCACCCGCTGGTGGGAGAAGTGCGTGGTGAAGGTTTGATTGCCGGCGTGGAATTGGTCAAAGAAAAGCAGCCCCGGGTTCCGTTTCCGCTCAGCCAGGGCGTAGCAGCCTACTGTGCGGCAGCTTGTCAGGAAGCTGGTCTGATTGTACGTAACATTGGCGATACTATAGCTTTCTGTCCGCCGCTGATTATTACTGAGGCACAGATTCATGAAATGGCGGATAAGTTCACAGCTGGCCTGAACGATACACTGGCCTGGGTGTCGAAAAACGCTCAACATGGCGAATAAACATGGAACTGTTTATATGGCGGTGAATCTCCACGTAACAAGGTGAACCAGTGAAAGCATCGGATTTGTTTGTACAGTGCCTGGAGGCGGAAGGCATTGAGCTTATTTTTGGCGTGCCTGGCGAAGAAAACGCCGACTTCATGATGTCGTTAGAAAAATCTGAGACCATACGCTTTGTGCTCACCCGCCATGAGCAAGGCGCCGCCTTTATGGCTGAAATTTATGGCCGTCTCACAGGTAATCCGGCAGGGTGTCTCGGTACGCTCGGCCCGGGTGCGACTAATCTGATCACGGGTGTTGCCGATGCCGATATGGATCGCGCGCCCATGCTGGTCCTGACCGGCCAGGGTTCTACAGAACGCCTGCACAAAGAGTCTCACCAGGTCATGGATGTGGTGGCGATGTTTGAACCGGTGACCAAATGGGCAACGTCCATACTGCATCCCAACACGATCCCCGAGGTTGTGCGTAAAGCTGTGCGCCTGGCAAGAACTGAAAAACCGGGTGCTGTGCACATCGAACTGGCTGAAGACCTTGCCAAGCATGAGACGCCGGCATTGCCCATCGAGCCGCGGCGTTTCCGTCGTCCAGTGCCGGCAGATAAGATTGTTGACACTGCGTTTGACCTTCTGAAGAAAGCAAAAAAACCGGTGATCATTGCAGGCAATGGCTGCATTCGTCGGCGTGCCAGTAAACAGTTGCGGCAGTTTTGTGAAACGACCGGCATAGGTGTCATCAGCACGTTCATGGCCAAAGGAGCCGTGGATATGGACAGTGAATACTGTCTCTATACCGTGGGTTTGGGCAGTAAAGACCGTATGAATCTGGTGCTTGATGAGGCGGATCTGGTACTGACCCTTGGTTTCGATATGGTGGAATACCATCCTCAGCTATGGAATCCCGGGCGCGACAAAAGTATTGTTCATGCGGATTTTCTCCCGGCAGAAATTGACGAGTACTATCACCCTGAAGTGGAAGTTGTGGGTGATCTTGCCCATTTTCTGTGGATGATGAATGAGCGCCTGCAAGCACACGGTCCTATTCAATTTGATCTTGCCCACCAGCGCGAAGCGCGCGCGGCAATGTCTGCTGATCTTGCTGAATATGCACAAGATACCCAGGTGGGTTCAATCCGGCCGCAGAAAGCACTATGGGATTGTCGACAGGTGCTGGGACCGGATGATGTGTTGCTGTCTGACGTTGGTGCGCACAAAATGTGGATCGCGCGTCATTATCACTGCCATGAGCCGAACACCTGTCTGATTCCCAACGGATTCTGTTCCATGGGGTTTGCCCTTCCCGGCGCCATAGCTGCTTCGTTGGTATATCCTGAGCGTAAGATTCTTGGCATTGCCGGCGATGCGGGTTTCCTGATGAATGTGCAGGAAATGGAAACCGCAAAGCGACTCAACTGCAATCTGGTGATGATGGTGTGGGAAGATCACGCCTATGGTCTGATTGCCTGGAAACAGGACAATGAGTTCGGACGCCATACGGACCTGAGCTTTGACAATCCTGAATGGATGGGCTTGGCGCAGTGTTTCGGCTGGCACGGACATCGTTGTGAGGACAGTGCGCAATTGCAGGACACACTTGAAGCTGCGTTTGCAGAATCGGGCCCGAGTCTTGTTGTGATCCCCATAGACTATCGGGAAAACTCATTGCTGACGCAGAAGCTGGGCGAGATAACCGCCAGCTTATAAAACCCGCCTTTGACCTGGTCCGGCGGGCTATTGCTGGACAAGTTCCATGCCCCTCGGCACACTCATCCCGCACATAAAAAGGGTGAGGGTTGGGGTTTTAAATGCAACGCAGTCAAAAATGGAAGCTGCTGGGCGCGCTGTTGGTGCTGCTCGGGGTGTCCGTCTCAGCGGCTGAAGTGGTGATCAGTGACGATGGACGGCAGATTCAAATCAACGGCGACGGCACCTGGGTGCAGTTATCCAAAGATCGATACGCAATAAACGCAGCCGGTGAACGGATTCGCCTGAAACCCGATGGCACCTGGAGTTTGCTGGGCGATGCTATACCTGAGGATGCCCGAGGGGCGGTTGCTTTAACGCCCATCAGTGCTGCGCTCGAAAGCACATTGTTTTTATCTAAAGTTGAAATTCTCAAACGCCGTATAGAGCGGGCCAAATCCACGCATGCGGAGGTGCGCACCGTCTACTACCTGCAGGTGGTCAATGACAGTCCCGCGGACATTAGTCTGGATAACTCGTTGTCCGCCAAGCTCTTACCGGGTAGCTCTTCCGGTGCAGAGTTTGACGTTATCTCAGTCAGTTTTCCGACCGGCCTGATAAAACCCGGTGAACGCGAAACGATCGAGGTTGTTGCCGATGGTGCACCGCGCTGGTTCGGTGTTAAGGCGATGACCCTGGAAGTAGCCGCTGGTGCATTAGGCAACCGGCAGTCGAGGGTGCTCAGCAAGATAATGAGTGATGTTGATCGTCGTGATGTCGATGACTTCTAGAAAGCAACACAGCCGAGATTAGATATGGCCATTCTTAACAGCTCCATCGACACCCGTAGTGATGCGTTTGCCCTGAACGACGCGCATAACCGCAAGTTGCGTGGTGAACTGCGGGCACTGGTTGCACAGATCTCTCTGGGCGGTGATGAAAGATCTCGATCACGACATCAAAGCCGCGGCAAGCTGCTCCCCAGAGAACGTATAGATCGCTTGTTAGATCCGGGGGCTGCCTTTCTCGAGGTTGGCCAACTTGCCGGCTACGAACTGTATGACGATAACATTCCCAGTGGCGGCATCATCACCGGTGTGGGTTGTGTGGCTGGCCAGCCCTGTATGATTGTTGCTAATGATGCCACCGTTAAAGGCGGCACCTATTATCCCATCACGGTAAAGAAACACCTGCGTGCCCAGGAAATTGCAATGGAGAATTCGCTGCCATGTATTTACCTGGTGGATTCAGGTGGGGCTTTTCTGCCCCTGCAGGCGGATGTCTTCCCAGACAAAGATCACTTTGGTCGGATTTTCTATAATCAGGCCAACATGTCTGCACGGGGCATACCGCAAATTGCCGTCGTTATGGGCTCGTGTACCGCCGGCGGCGCTTATGTGCCAGCCATGTGTGATCAGGCGATCATCGTCAAAGATCAGGGCACCATATTCCTGGGAGGGCCGCCCCTGGTTAAAGCCGCCACCGGAGAAGTGGTTGATGCTGAAACGTTGGGGGGTGGTGAAGTCCACAGCCGCACCTCTGGCGTAGTGGATTATCTGGCGGATAACGATGAACACGCGCTGCTCCTGGCCCGTGAAGCAGTTGCCCACAGTCACCAGCAATTTGGCTCCAGTGTAACCACTCAGCAGGTTCGAGCGCCGCGTTATGCGGCAGAAGAGTTATATGGCGTGATGCCCACAGATACGCGCACACCGTTTGATGTGCGTGAGGTTATTGCGCGCCTGGTAGATGATTCAGAATTCCACGAATTTAAAAAGTTGTATGGAGAAACGCTGATTTGCGGGTTTGCCCATGTTCAGGGTATGCCGATTGCGATAGTTGCTAACAACGGTATTCTTTTTTCGCAAAGTGCGGTGAAAGGTGCTCACTTTATCCAGCTGGCAGACCGCCGTGGTATACCGTTGCTGTTTCTACAGAACATCACCGGCTTTATGGTCGGGCAAAAATATGAACACCAGGGCATTGCCAAAGACGGCGCAAAAATGGTCACCGCCGTGGCGTGTGCCAAGGTGCCTAAGTTTACGGTGGTCATTGGTGGGTCGTTTGGGGCCGGTAACTATGCCATGTGCGGGCGTGCGTATGGCGCGCGTATGCTGTGGACCTGGCCAAATGCGAGAATTTCCGTGATGGGCGGCGAGCAGGCTGCACATGTTCTGGCCACTGTCCGGCAGGATGGCCTGGATGCTCGCGGTGACACCTGGGCGGATGCAGATAAACAGTCGTTTATGCAGGGTATCCGTGACGCCTATGATGCAGAGGGGCACCCTTTCTACGCGTCCGCCCGACTTTGGGATGATGGTGTTATCGACCCGGCGGATACCCGCCAGGTTCTGGCATTAGCGTTACAGATTGCAACCCAGCAGTCGCATCAACCGCAGTCAGACTTCGGCATCTTCAGGATGTAACCGCTTGAGGATATTAATGTGATCAGAACTCTGTTAGTCGCCAATCGAGGCGAAATAGCCTGCCGTATATTCAGCACTGCAAGGCGTCTTGGTATCCGCACGGTTGCCGTCTATTCACAAGCGGATGCACAGGCACTGCACGTGCGCAGTGCTGACAGCGCTATCTGTATTGGTCCTGCAAGTGCTGCGGAAAGTTATCTGAATGTTGAAGCAGTGCTTGACGCCGCGCGGCAGAGCAATGCGGATGCGATCCATCCCGGTTACGGTTTTCTGTCGGAAAATGCGGAGTTTGCGCTGGCTTGTGAGCATGCGGGGATCATCTTCGTTGGCCCGCCTGCAGAAGCGATTAGAACCATGGGTTCAAAAACCGCTGCGAAACAGCTGATGCAATCTGCGGGGATCCCGATACTGCCTGGTTATCATGGAGACGAACAGGATGCAGACTTTCTTGCAGCCCAGGCTGCTGAAATTGGTTACCCGCTGCTGATCAAAGCTTCCGCCGGCGGCGGCGGCAAAGGTATGCGCCTGGTCACACAGGCATCAGAATTTGCTGATCAACTGGCGGGTGCTAAACGAGAAGCCAAGGCTGCATTTGGTGACGATGTTGTGCTGCTTGAACGTTATCTTACGGCGCCAAAACACATTGAAGTCCAGCTTATGGCAGATCAGCATGGTGACGTTGTGCATCTGTTGGAACGGGACTGTTCGGTACAACGGCGTCACCAGAAAGTGGTTGAAGAAGCACCCGGGCCTACGGTGTCACCGCAATTACGCAACCGTCTGGGTCAAACGGCTGTTATGGTTGCTAAACAGGTAGGTTATGTGGGCGCCGGGACGGTGGAATTCATCGCGGAGGGTGACGAATTCTATTTCATGGAAATGAACACCCGTCTTCAGGTTGAACATCCGGTAACTGAGGCGATTACCGGATTAGACCTGGTGGAGATGCAGCTTAATGTTGCTGCGGGTAAACCTCTGGGAATGAATCAATCTGACGTTAAGCTTGATGGTCATGCCATAGAGGTGCGGTTGTACGCTGAGAATCCGGCCAAACACTTTTTACCTTCCACCGGCAAGCTGGTGAGGTTTGAAACACCCCGCTCCATTCGGGTTGATACAGGCGTGCAGGCAGGCGATAGCGTCAGCCCGCACTACGACCCGATGCTGGCGAAGCTGATCGTTCATGCGCCCCATCGTGACGCGGCCATAGACCAGTTGGTAAGCGCCTTGCGTCAATGCAGGATTGCAGGGATAGATCATAACCTGGGCTATCTGGTTGGTATGTTAAACCACCCACTGTTTAAATCAGGGGCGTATACGACGGGAATCGCTGACGCCATTCATGGTGAAGTAGTGCCTGATTGTAAGAATGAGTTTGCAGCCTCTGCCGGTGAGTTTGTATTAGCTGGCGGCTCTGAGCATAAACCGTTCACAACAGGTCTGCCCTGGACGGGTAGTGGATTCCGCCTGAATCAGGATGCGGTGCGCAAAGTTGTGCTTCGACAGGGTAAGTTGGAATACCTGATTAACAAAGGTCTGGACACGACCCTGGTGAATGGTGAGGCAGTTGTCCGGATGAACCCACAACTGACAGAAGTCCTGGCTGATGGCGATTTTCTGTATGTCATGGCTGATGGCCATACGGAAAAATATATCGACCTCACAGATGATATGAGTCGTTATCAGAATCAGACCCTGACAGCGGCTGGAATTGTTGCTCCGATGCCTGGTGCGGTGATCGCGGTGAACGTGAAGGTGGGCGAGCGCGTGAAAGTCAACGATGTGGTGGTGGTGGTTGAAGCCATGAAAATGGAACACGGTATCCGTGCGACAAAAAACGGCGTTGTCAGAAGTGTGATGTGCGCGGTTGGCGATCGCGTTGAGGAAGGCCTGGAACTGGTTGATATCCAGTAGCAGCGTACAGGGCTTTCATTCGACATTAATGTCTGGCTGAAAGCGCCTATTTGGTATGATCTGTTCTTCTATCAAAACGAAGATAACCTACCGTGAGCAGCTTACCTGATTTTGACTTCGGTCATGGTGAAACCATTAATCTCCTGCGCGACAGCGTTGCCCAGTTTGCCGCCAAAGAGATCACACCCCGCGCCCAGGAAATAGATCAACAGAATCTGTTTCCACGTGACCTGTGGGGCAAGCTAGGCGAGCTTGGGGTTATGGGTATGACCATTGAGGAGCAGTACGGAGGCGTGAACCTCGGCTATCTCGCTCATACCGTGGTGATGGAAGAAATCAGCCGGGCCTCTGCATCGGTTGGTCTGTCTTATGGCGCCCATTCGAATCTCTGTGCCAACCAGATTCGCCGGTTTGGCAATGACGAACAAAAACAGAAATATCTCCCCGGGCTTGTGTCGGGCCAGTATCTGGGCGCGCTGGCCATGAGTGAGCCGGGCGCGGGTTCGGATGTGGTGGGCATGTCGCTGCGCGCCCGCGAAGATGGCGATAACTATGTTTTGAACGGCAACAAAATGTGGATAACCAATGGCCCCGGTGCGGATGTCCTTGTGGTTTATGCCACCATCGATCCAGCCCTTGGTTCTAAAGGCATTACCGCGTTCCTGGTTGAAAAGGACCTGGCAGGGTTCAGTACGGGAGTGAAGCTGGATAAATTAGGCATGCGCGGTTCTGACACGGCAGAACTGATTTTTGAAGACTGCCGTGTGCCGAAGACACAGATTCTGGGTCAGGTTGGTAAAGGTGTGCAGATTCTCATGAGCGGGCTGGACTATGAGCGCGTCGTGCTTGCTGGCGGCCCCCTGGGCATCATGCGCAGCGCGCTGGATGTGGTGATGCCTTATCTGCATGAACGCAGCCAGTTTGGTCAGGCGATTGGACAGTTCCAACTGATGCAGGGCAAAGTGGCAGATATGTATACCGAAATGAACGCGGCGAGAGCTTATGTCTATGCGGTGGCTCAGGCCTGTGATGCGGGCCGTACGACACGGTTTGATGCGGCGGGATGTATTCTGTTTGCTGCAGAAAAGGCGACACAGATAGCGCTCCAGGCAATTCAATGTCTGGGCGGCAATGGTTACATCAATGACTATTCCACGGGGCGGTTGCTCAGGGATGCTAAGCTTTACGAAATCGGCGCGGGTACCAGCGAAATCCGACGTATGCTGATTGGTCGCGAGTTGTTCGACGCCACTGCCGTCTAGCGCTATAATTCGCGCCGTTTTTTGCTAGCTCATTGCTAGCTCATTGCTAGCTGTCGGTCGATCATGAAATCGACACACTATTATTTGGAGATATGTTTTGAAGCGTAGTTTCAGTTCTTCTATGGCCGTTTTAGCGGTTGTTGCGAGCGTTTGGGTGTTTGCGTTACCACCAGGTACAACGGAAGAAATCAGTCAGCGAATTGATCCTTTTGGCAGTGTCAGTCGCGTCGGTGACGCCGGCGGTGCGCCGGTCAGCAGCGCTTCAGCAGAGCCGCTTTCTGGTCAGCAGGTGTATGACCAGTTCTGTTTTGCCTGCCATGCCGGCGGCATTGGTGGTGCACCTACTTTTGGTGATACTGCGCAATGGGCAGAACGGGTGGATCAAGGGATGGACGTGCTGATGGACCACACCATTAACGGCATCCGCACCATGCCGGCAAAAGGTACCTGCATGAATTGTTCAGACGACGAACTCAATGCAGCGGTCACCTACATTCTGGATAACCTGCCTTAGCCAGACGGGTGGTTGCCCCCTCAGCGCAAATTGTTTTCCCAGTCGAGTCCCCGGTAGGAAAGCGCCTCGGTCATGTCACCGAGGCGGATAATCGGACTTTCACTTAAATCGGCAATGCTGCGCGCGATACGCCAGATTTTGTGATAACTGCGCGCAGAGAGGTTAAAACGCCGGATTGCCTGTTGCAGAAAGCCATCGTCCAGTTTCGCATCTGCAATCTCTCTCTCGAGCTGCTCCCCACTTAACAAAGCGTTGATACAACCCTGGCGCGTCTGCTGAGTTTGTCGCGCTTGTGCCACCCTGGCACGCAGTGTGTCGGTGGTGTTGCTTGATTGTTTGTTGCCCAGCCGGGTCAACATTTCCTGCCTCAGGGCGGGCACTTGTACCTGAATATCAATTCGATCCAGCAGCGGTCCGGACACCCGGCTCTGATAACGCTGTACCTGTGTGGGCGTGCATCGACAGTTGTCTTCACGACACACCCGCCCCGCCGGGCAGGGGTTCATGGCCGCAATCAGCTGAAAGCGACAGGGGTAGGTGACTTTGTATCTGGCGCGTGTGATCACCGCCGAACCGGTTTCGATGGGCTCCCGCAATAAATCCAGCGCCGAAGGTTTGAAATGCGGCAACTCGTCGAGGAACAGGACGCCGTGATGTGACAGGGCGACTTCGCCAGGTTGCGGCGGATTGCCACCACCCATCAACGCCGCGGCGCTGGCGGAATGGTGTGGATCGCGAAACGGCGCCAGGCGATAGTTGTGCCTTGGCAGCCCAGCGGCAGAGTAGACTGCTGCACACTCCAGCGCCTGGGTGCTGTCCAGTTCAGGCAACAGGGCGGCAAAACTCCGCGCCAACATGGTTTTGCCTGTACCTGGCGGGCCCACCATAAGCAAATGGTGTCCGCCTGCCGCAGCAATAGTCAGGGCGCGTTTGGCCGCTTCCTGACCAACAATCTGGTGTAGCTGTGGGGTTGCCTGATCTGGCTGAGTGTTTGTGCAAACGGGGTTGGGCAATGGGATCGGCTTGCTCATGCCTGCCGGCAGTGCAGAGGTTTTGATCTGCTGATCCTCTGATTGTGTCAGATAGCGTGTTACAGAAAGCAGGCTGTTGGCGAGCAGCAAAGCCTCAGCGGGCGCAATTTGCGCTTCGGCCTGGTTGCTGTCCGGCACAATCAGAATTCGATCAGCAGCCTGGGATGCAAGCGCGCAGGTTAAACATCCGCTGACTTTGCGCAGTTCACCGAATAAGCCAAGCTCACCTAAAAATTCTAAATGTTTGAGTTGAGTGCCCGGGATCTGTTGGCTTGCGCTGAGAATCGCCAGGGCAATGGGTAAATCCAGAGCGGCGCTTGATTTGGTCAGGCTACCCGGCGCCAGATTGATCACTACTGCGCCGTCAGGATAGCTGAACCCGGAATTGATGATGGCGCTGCGTACCCGGTCACGCGCTTCGCGAACGGCACCATCTGGCAGGCCCACTATTGTTGTATGCGGCAAACCATTGCCAATGTGACACTCTACGGTCACTGATGCGGCATGCAGGCCCAGGAGCGAGCGACTGTGTATTTGTGGCGCAGTCCTCGTCTCGTTAAGTTCAGGCTCAGGCAGTTTCTTCAAGCTGTTTCAGGCGTTGTTCAAGCGTGCCTACCTGAATTTCAAGCGACTTGAGAATATCCAGATGTGCCTGGTATTCATGTTTAGGCACCAGCTCAAATTTGGCCATGAAATCTAAAGCCGCAGTTTCAAAGCTCTGCAGAGTGTCCTGGGGTACCCGCCCCGCCAGGTTCTGCTGAATCAGGTCGAGAAAAGCGCGCAGCGGATCCATGTTTCATCTCATCTAGTAAAGAAGAAGCCATGGTACTGCAGCCACAGTGTGTTGCAGAGAGGTTCATGCCGCTGTTTGTGTAGGCATATGCCCCAATTTAGTGCGAGAAGCGCACTGTTGTTGTGCTCCAAAACAGGGCGTTTTCCCGGCGTCACCGCTAACCCATTGTTCTTATTGCGTTTATTAACTGGCACGCAACCTGCACTAGGGAAGACTCACAGCATTCATGGTCAACCATGGTGCAGTGTTAAACCAAGGGGTCAGAAAAATATTGACCAGTTAAGGGTCGCAAAGGAGAACACATGAGAGCTTTAAATAAAATTGTTGCAGCAGCAGCGCTTGCATCGGGTGCATTAATGACGTCTAACGTTGCCAGTGCCGATGTGTCGTTCAACATTGGTTACGCATCGGAGTATTACTTCCGCGGCGTAAATCAGAAAAATTCGTCCGGTAGCGTTGGCGCGGACTACGAAAACAGTGGTTTTTATGTCGGCACGTGGGCTGCAGACGTAGGTGATGGCTTGGAAGTAGACGGCTACTTCGGCTACGGCATCGAAACTGAAGCAGGTTTAAGCGCCAGCCTCGGTTTCACCGGCTACTACTACACAGGTGAGTTCGACGACACCTACGAAGAAATTAACCTGAACCTGGGTTACGGCCTGTTCAGTCTTGAGTACAGCGTAGGCGAGTGGGACGGCTTCGGTGATTCTCAGGATTACGACTTCCTTGCCGGTACTGTTTCGCTTGAGAATGGTCTGTATGGCACCTACGGCACCTGGGGCAAAGACTTCGACGGTGAGTACCTTGAGCTGGGCTGGGGCACCACAGTATCTGAAATCGACCTTGGTATAGCCCTCATTCTGTCAAGCGATGAGCTTTCAGACCAACTAGACAGCGGCGGCTCTCCAACAGAAAGCGAAGCGGTTGTATTCACCATTGGGAAAACTTTCTAAATAGCGCTTTTTTTACCGCTAGCTCACTGCAGTACCGTGAGTTAGTGGTATCTCTAAGCCACTAATTATTAGAAAATCCTAGGGATGCGAGTTGAGATGATCTTCCACAAAGCCTGTCTGGCACGCATCCCCAACTAGGAGATAAGAAAACATGAAATTAATCACAGCCATTATCAAGCCATTCAAACTGGATGATGTGCGCGAAGCCCTGTCCGAAGTAGGCGTCCAAGGGATGACGGTTACGGAAGTCAAAGGTTTTGGCCGACAGAAAGGCCATACAGAACTGTATCGCGGTGCGGAATATGTCGTCGATTTTTTACCGAAGGTGAAAATTGAGACGGCGGTAGGTGACGACATGCTTGAGCAAGCGATCGAAGCCATTACCAAGTCAGCCAATACCGGCAAAGTGGGGGACGGCAAGATCTTCGTGACAGCGTTGGATGAAGTCGTTCGTATTCGAACCGGGGAAACCGGCGCCGACGCGGTTTAACGCTCGGCAATCACGGAGAAAATTGTGGAAGATCTAGTTCAACTCAGTTATTCAGTAGATACGCTCTACTTCCTGGTCATGGGCGTGCTTGTCATGTTCATGGCGCCCGGTTTTGCCATGCTCGAAGCGGGCATGGTGCGGGCTAAAAACACGTCCGAAATCTTACTTAAAAACGTCGCTCTGTTTTCCATTGCGTCCATCATGTACCTGTTGGTCGGTTACGCGATCATGTACGGCGATGGCAGCGGTTGGATGCCTGGCTTTGGCTTCCTGATTGGTGCCGAAAACACCACGGAAGAAGTCCTTGCCTCAGGCGGTGACACCTACTATTCAGCGCGTTCTGACTTCTTTTTCCAGGTTGTCTTTGTTGCAACCGCCATGTCCATTGTGTCTGGTGCCGTGGCTGAACGTATGAAACTGTGGGCATTTCTTGCCTTTGCAGTGGTTATGACCGGCTTCATCTATCCTGTCCAGGGCTTCTGGAAATGGGGTGGCGGTGGCCTCGACGAGCTGGGCTTCTTAGACTTTGCAGGCTCGGGTGTTGTTCATATGTGTGGTGCAGCAGCAGCGCTCGCGGGTGTTATTCTGCTTGGCCCACGTCTGGGTAAATATGGTCCCAACGGGCAGATTAACCCAATTCAAGGTGCCAACATGCCACTGGCCACGCTGGGTATGTTTATCCTCTGGTTTGGCTGGTTCGGTTTCAACGGTGGTTCTGAGCTTATGGTCAGCAACGTTGATGAAGCGAATGCCGTGTCACAAGTATTTGTGAACACCAATACGGCAGCTGCAGGCGGCCTGGTTGCGGCGCTGATTCTGGCGCGCATCATGTTTGGTAAAGCGGATCTGACGATGGCGCTCAACGGTGCGTTGGCAGGTCTGGTATCGATCACAGCAGAACCGCTTACCGGCTCTAACCTGGCTTCCCTGGGTATAGGTGCTGTAGGTGGCGTGATTGTTGTGCTGTCGATTGTCATGCTCGATAAGCTGAAAATCGATGACCCTGTAGGCGCCATCTCAGTCCACGGTACGTGTGGTATCTGGGGTCTGTTGGCGGTCGTGATCACCAACTCTGATGCCACCATTGGTGCGCAGTTGATCGGTATTGCAGTGATCTTCGCCTGGACCTTTGGGGTCAGCTTGATCGTCTGGTTGATCATCAAAGCCGTTATGGGTATCCGAATCTCTGAAGAAGAGGAATACAACGGCGCAGACATTACTGAAACCGGTATCGAAGCTTATCCGGAGTTTTCCAAAGGCTGATCTGATCGGTTAAAGATAACGGGGGACAGCGCCAGGTCTGCCCTGCGCATCCCACCGTTACCGATCTTCAAAAGAGAGCCGGGCTTTGTTTTCAAAGCCCGGTTTTTCTTTTTCTGCCCCCTCATTTTTTCGCGCTTCGAAACTGGCGCTTTTTCAGATCTGTTCTATAACTACTGTCGAGACTGATTAAGGAAAGTGTCATGGAAACGACAACAACCCCAAACGCAAATGAAGAATTAGGCAGCTATACCCCTGAAGCGCGTGCAGAAACCCGCAGCGAGTTAAAGGCTGACATCGAAAAGTTTCTCAAGTCTGGTGGCAAAGTTGATGAAATTGCCAAAGGTGAACGGGCAGACCCGCCGCGCAAGCCTGAAAACAACTATGGCCGCGGATCTATCTGACATCAGTAGCCACTGAAACACTGCACCGGGCGTAATTATCAGTAGAATAGCGCGCTTGGAAAATCCACAAGTGACGGGTTATGAAATATTGCAGCACGCGGGGCGGTGTCGCTGATTTATCGTTTGTTGATGCTTTGCTGATGGGGCTTGCACCTGACGGTGGCCTGCTGGTCCCTACCGAGCTGCCTGATGTGACGGCTCACCTGGACAAATGGCGTGAGCTGAGCTTTGTTGGCCTTGCCCAGGAAGTGATCGCTCTGTTTGTTGATGATATCGATCGACCCACCCTCGACAGGCTGATAACAGAGGCTTACGCCACGTTTGATCACCCTGATGTCATTGGTTGGCAGCAGCTTGGTGACGTTGACGTCATGGAGCTTTACCACGGACCTACACTGGCGTTCAAAGACGTTGCGCTGCAGCTTCTGGGCCGCCTGTTTGAACACGTCTTAGGTCAACGCCATCAGCACCTGAATATTCTCGGAGCCACCAGCGGTGATACCGGTGGTGCGGCCATAGCCGGTGTGCGTGGTCAGGACAACATCGACATCTTTATTCTGTTTCCCGAAGGCAAGGTCAGTCCGCTGCAGGAACTGCAGATGACCACCGTCGCTGACGACAATGTGCACTGTATAGCGGTGCAGGGTAGTTTTGACGATTGCCAGTCGTTGATGAAAGAGATTTTTGCAGATCTCGATTTTAAGGCTGAATATCAGCTGGGCGCTGTGAATTCGGTCAATTGGGCGCGGGTCATGGCGCAGATTGTCTATTACGGTTATGCAAGTCTGCGTTACAAAACACCGCCCGCTTTCTGCGTGCCCACCGGCAACTTCGGTAACGTGTTTGCTGCTTTTCTGGCGAAAGAAATGGGTTTCCCTATTGATCGCCTGCTGGTGGCAACCAATGAGAACGATATCCTGGCGCGCTTTTTTGCCACCGGAGAATATGCCCGGGGCAACGTGCACTTTACGCTCTCACCTGCCATGGACATTCAGGTTGCCAGTAATTTCGAACGGTTTCTGTATTACTACTTCGATAAAGATACGGTACAGCTTAACGCGTTCATGCACTCGTTCAGCAGTCAGGGCCGTGCCACCCTAGACGGTCCGCCTGATGTAGATTTCATGCAGGCAACGGCGGTGAACAGCAAGCAGACGCTGGCGGCGGTAAAACATGTCCATGATCAGTTCAATTATGTATTGGACCCTCACACTGCGGTAGGTTATGCCGCCTGTCAGGTGTTCAGACAGAGTGTGGATGCGCCGTTGGTCTGTGTTGCCACAGCGCATCCAGCTAAGTTTCCGGAGGCGGTAAAGCAGGCTGCTGCGGATGCACAGGCAAATCACCCCACGCTTGATGCGCTGATTGGACTACCCGCTAAAAAACAGGTTATTCCGGCCACTATTGAGGCGGTAAAAAAGGTTATTTCGGAACAGGTGAAAGGCCGTTCAGCCTGAGACAATCTGTTGCACGGCATCTTTCACCGCACTTAAATGAGTGACTTCCCGACTTGGCGTGACGTCAGCCGGTTGCCCGCCAACCAGGTTCACCCAGATGCTGTGCATGCCGACACGGTCTGCACCCTGGATGTCATCCACCAGATGATCACCAATATGGATGGCCTGTCGCGGCTTTAACTGCAAGGCCGACAGCGGCGCTTCGAACATGGCAGGATGAGGTTTCTTGTTTCCCACATCCGCGGCACTGTATGCACCACTGAAAAAGTCCGCCAGCCCGGTTTTGTTGATATTGGCGTTACCGTTGGTTAACGCGATGATGTCGAATTCCCGGCTCAGGGATTGCAACATCTCCAGCGCCCCTTCAAATAACACCACCTGGTTGCGCCCCTCAAAGAAAACGTCAAATGCTGCCTTTGCCTGGAGACGTGCGTCAGCATCGGATAGCCCGGTTTGCCGCATTATCTCAAAAAGAATCTGCGTTCGCATGAAGCTGAGGTCGTGGCTTTGCTGGGTGTGGCGGGCGAACACTTCCTGGCGCAGCCTGTTCAGATTGTCTGGCTGATAATGGGCCAGCGAATCAGGAACATTTTCCAGCAGCCATGCTTTCAGCATTGCCTCTGCTTTGATGATAATGCTGTCCACATCCCATAGCGTATTGTCCAGGTCGAGGGTGATGAGTTTGATGCTGCTCATGGTGCCTAACTCTTTTCCGACCCATCCGGAATCAAACCGCTGCGAGGATGAGCAGCGTCATAGACCTTGGCCAGGTGCTGAAAGTCCAGGTGGGTGTAGACCTGTGTGGTTGCTATATCACTATGCCCCAACAACTCCTGGATTGCGCGAAGGTCACCTGAAGATTCCAGCATGTGGGTGGCAAAACTGTGACGCAGCATGTGTGGATGCAGAGCGTTGTCAGCGAGTTGTTCTGTCGCGATTTTTTTCAGTCGGCTTTGAATTGTACGCGGGCTGATGCGTTTGTTTCCTCTACCGAGAAAGATTGGGCGGTCAGGCAGGCATTCATCGGATTCATGAAGCCACACCCGCAAAGCTTCTAAAGAGTGGCGTCCCAGAGGAACGTTGCGGGCCTTGTTACCCTTACCGATAACCCTGACAAAACCAGACTCCAGGTCAACGTCACCGATATTGAGATTCACCAACTCCATCAAGCGCAGACCAGAGCCGTAAAACAACTCAAGCATGGCGCGATCGCGTTTTTCTACAGGCGAGGCAGGCGTCTTATCGAACAGACGCGAAGCCTGATCGGTATCAAGGACTTTGGGTAATTTCCTTTGTGCCTTAGGGACACGAGCGATTGCTGCCGGGTTGGTTTTCAGTCTGCCCTGGCGCTGCCAGTAGGTGAAAAAACTTCGCAAGGCTGATACCGCGCGAGCGATGCTTTTAGGCTGTAAGCCGGTTTGACGCAGGTGGCCGATATAAAGAGTGATGTCGTGGCTGCGAGATTCCAACAGGTTTCGTTTGAAGTGTTTCTCAAATTTAGCCAGTTCGTGCTGATAGCCGCTCAGGGTATGTTGCGAGTAGCGCTTCTCTACCGTCAGATACTTTAAAAAGTCGACAATCTCAACGCTTGTGGTGGTGTCACTGTCCCGGGTCACGGTTCATGCCTCAAAGGCGATTCAGCACCTTTGTTAGAACATCCGCTATGTAGGTTACAAACAGCGTGTCCATATCGGTGCTGAAGCGTTGTGGGTCGCGGCTGCCAATAGCCAGGACACCAGGTTGATTGTCCAGAGCCAATGGCAGCAGTACGGCGCTGCCGCTTTCATCGTGATTTGACGCGGGAAAAAGTTGCGTCAGTTCGGTGCGTCGCAGCGTTGTACACGTCGCGCTTTCGCCGTTGAAAAAACCGTTAAAAGGATACTCGTCGCGGTGGTTCTGAATGTGATCCAGCGAGAAAGCGCGGTCGCGCACGTGGCAACAGACAAAGTCAGCATCAAAGTCGACCAGTACATAGGTGGCCAGCACTTCGTTCAATTCCTGCAGTGAAGCCGTATCCAGTAACGCCAGCGTCAACGACCGCGTTTTGGCAAACAGGCCGTCATTTTCCCGTGCAGCATCTAACAACTCGTTCATTCGGCGGCGCATTTCCATGTTACGCTCACGCATGATAGTAACCTGATGTTCAACAAGAGAAATGGCCTTGCCGGATGCATGGGGCAGATTGAGCTCAGTCAGCAGGCCGGGATGACGGATGAAAAAATCGGGATGTGCGCGCAGATAGTCGATCAGATCCTGTTCGGCAGGCATATCTTCAGGTAGCTCGTCAGCTTGCATTGTCGTCCCCTATTGATCCAGCTGTAGCTCGCCGCGGTAAACGTAGCTTGCATCGCCAGACATTGTAACCGGGCTGTCTGTATCCGGCCATTTGATTCGAAGCTTGCCGCCGGGCAAAGATACTTTAACGCGTTCGCTAACCTTATCGTGCAGTCGTGCGGCAACAACAGCGCCACAAGCACCACTGCCACAGGCTTGAGTTTCCCCTGCGCCGCGTTCGAATACCCGCAGACGTATGAACTGGCGATCAACCACCTGACAGAATCCTACATTGGCACCTTCCGGAAATGCAGGGTGGCTGGTGAGCAGTCCGCCAATTTCGTCAATGTCGAGACTGAAGATGTCGTCACAGAACAGCACCGCGTGAGGGTTACCCATAGATACCGGTGTCACCTTGAAGCTCTGTTCACCCGCTTGCAGGGTGAAAACTGACGGATTGTCGGTTGTATCGCTGTGTTCGGGTGCAAAAGGTATGTCCGCATGATTGAGTACAGGTACCGTCATGGTGGTTTCAATCTGGGTGGGAGAACTGAAGTCCGTTGTAAATAATCCAGCTGCGGACTGCCACACCAGTTTCTGCTTGGCACTTAATCCGAGTTGTTGTACCAGCATCGCCACACATCTGGTGCCGTTACCACATTGTTGTGCACTGCTGCCGTCAGCATTGAATATTCTGTAGCTGAAATCTGCTTTCGGTGTTGATGGGGCCTCAATGATCAGTAACTGGTCAAAGCCGACGCCGCGATGGCGGTCGCCCCAGGCTGCAATGGCTTGATTGCTGAGATCGATGGATTGGGAAACAGCATCAATCACCATGAAATCATTGCCCAGGCTGTGCATCTTGTGGAACACAAGCGGACGCCGGCGGGGGTTCACAGCACGTTCCTGGCGGCGTCCAGGCCAGACTCCAGGCGCAGCTGATCGGTGATGGTTTCGCGTCGGCGGATCAACTCGAATGTTTCCCCGTCGACCATGATCTCGCAGGCGCGACCGCGGCTGTTGTAGTTAGATGCCTGCACCATGCCGTAGGCACCGGCGGACGCAACAGCCAGCACACTGGCGGCCTCCAGGCCAAGTGATCGATCCTTGGCAATAAAGTCACCCGACTCGCAAACCGGGCCGACAATATCCCACTGGCGGGGTTGTAATGTCCGGTTCGGATTGACCACCAGCACATCGTGCCAGGCCTGGTACAAGGCCGGGCGAATCAAGTCGTTCATGGCCGCATCGACGACTGCAAAGTTTGGTGCGTCAGGCTCGCTGGCTTCTTTCAGATATTCGATACGAGTCAGCAGGACGCCCGCGTTGGCGACAATAGAGCGCCCAGGCTCAAGGATAATGGTCTGCCCTCGCCCGCCCAGAATTTGCCTGACGCTTGCCCCATAGGTTTCCAGATCCAGGGGGGATTCGTCCTGGTAAACAATGCCCATGCCGCCACCTAGATCAATATGTTCCAGCTCAATCCCCATTGATGCCAGCTCATCTACCAGTCGCAACATGTTGGTGAACGCATCCAGCAGCGGTTCAATATCGGTAATCTGCGAGCCGATGTGACAGTCGATGCCGACAATCTTGAGCTGCGGATTTTCCGCTGCGGTTTGATACATGGCCAGCGCCTGTTCGGGCTGCACGCCAAACTTATTCTGTTTCAGGCCGGTGGAAATATAGGGGTGTGTCTGAGCATCCACGTTCGGATTGACACGAATAGAGATAGGCGCAACCTGGCCGCTGATTTCGGCGCGTTCTGCAATACGATGCAGCTCCGCTTCACTTTCAATATTGAAACATTCAATGCCTACTTTCAGCGCAAAGTCTATCTCTTCGATGGACTTCCCGACCCCTGAAAATATGACGGTGCTCGGGTCGCCGCCAGCGGCAATGACCCTGCTGAGTTCACCACCGGAAACGATATCAAAACCCGCGCCCAGCTCGCTGCACAGCTTCAGAATTGCAAGATTAGAGTTTGCTTTAACGGCGTAGTGCAGATTGAAAGCAACCCCTGCAAAAGCCTCATTGAGTGCTTCGATGGCATCAGTGATATGCGCCTTGGAATAGACGTATGCGGGTGTTCCGACGGCGTCTGCCAGACCGAGCAGATCGACACGCTCCAACCATAGATGACCGTCTACTTCCGACAGGTAAGGGGAGTGCGTGCCGGTCATTGTTCTGTCTGGATCAGCGGTGTTGTCATGCTTGTGGCAACCTGCATAACGGTTGGGCTGGTATCGCGCTCAGGCAACTGCAGCGGTCCTTTCTGTCCACAGGTTGCGGTCCACATCACCAGGACCAGTAGAGTTGTCCAGCGCCACGTTGTCATGGGGTCTTACTGCTGCGTTGTTAAAACCGGCGAGTATAACTCGATCCTGCGGCCGGTCACCAAACATGTTTATGCGCTGTTGGTGACCTGTTTATCCCGGAGGTGCTTGTCCCTGCTTGAGTGACTAAAGCCTCTGGCGTGCTCGATTTACCGCCTGACGAACCTGGTTTGGTGCAGTGCCGCCAAAGTGGTCTCTGGCAGCCACGGACCCTGACAGGCTCAACACCTGGTAAACATCTTCGGTGATCACATCACCACCTCCACCATTCAGTTCTTCCAGGCTCAGGGCTTCCAGCGGCATGCCTTTGGCCACTGCCTGGGCAACCGCTTTGCCCACAATCTCGTGGGCGTCGCGGAACGGCACATCTTTACGTACCAGGTAGTCGGCCAGATCTGTGGCTGTGGTGTAGCCTTTTAAGGTGGCTTCACGCATGGCTTCAACATTCGGTTCGATGTGCGGCACCATGCCATTCAGCGCGGTAAGGCATCCGTGCAGGGTGTCCACCGTATCAAACAGCGGCTCTTTGTCTTCCTGGTTATCTTTGTTATAGGCCAGCGGCTGGCTTTTCATGAGTGTCAGCAGGGAGATTAGATGGCCGTTGACGCGTCCGGTTTTACCGCGAATCAGCTCCGGTACATCGGGATTTTTTTTCTGCGGCATGATGCTAGAGCCAGTACAGAAACGGTCCGGCAGGTTTACAAAACCGAATTGTTGCGACGACCACAGCACCAGTTCTTCGCACCAGCGCGACAGGTGTGTCATGGTCAAGGCAGCAACGGCGCAGAATTCGATGGCAAAGTCGCGGTCGCTGACCGCATCCAGTGAGTTTTCACAGACACTGTCAAAGCTGAGCGCCTGGGCGACAAATTCCCGGTCAGGTTTGTAGGGCGTGCCGGCAAGCGCTGCGGCACCCAGCGGCAAAATGTTTATCCGTTTGCGGGCATCCGCAAGACGCTCCCGATCACGCAGCAGCATTTCGAACCAGGCCATCAAATGATGACCAAAGGTAATTGGCTGTGCAGCCTGCAGATGCGTAAAGCCCGGCATGATGGTGTCTGCATGTTGTTCGGCAAGATCTGCCAGCGCGCTGAGCAATGCGGTTTCCAGCTGCATTAGCTCATCGACTGCGTCACGCAGATACAGCCGAATATCCGTGGCAACCTGGTCGTTGCGCGAGCGTCCGGTATGCAGCTTTTTGCCCGTGTCACCAATGCGTTCGATCAGGCGGCTTTCGATGTTCATATGTACATCTTCAAGCGCTACCTGCCAATTGAATTCGCCGCCTTCTATTTCCCGCTGGATATCCTGCAGCCCGCCAATAATCTGGTCACATTCTGCATCGCTGAGAATGTCGATTTTGTTCAGCATGCGCGCGTGCGCAATGGAGCCGGCAATGTCCTGGGGGGACAGGCGCTGGTCGAAGCTGACAGAAGCGGTGAACGCTTCCACAAATTCATCCGTGGCTTCACTGAAGCGGCCACGCAATAAGCCCGCGGCGGATGGCTTCGGTGTATTATTCACACTCATCTTTGTTACACAGATTGGTTGGATGCCCGATTATAGCGGAAAGTTTCGAATGCGAGCGCGTTGCGTATGAGCGCACGCCCGATTCATTTCGATATTCCACATTTGTGTAATACCACCGCCATCACTCTGCTGGTGCTGTTCAGCCAGTTGCTGGTGATCATTTTGCTGTTTGCCGGTGATGAGTTGAGCTGGGGTCGCTTTGGCCTGATGTCGCTGTTTGTACAGTGGGTGGCGTTGGCCAGTGCGGGTATTTTATGTCTACTGCGCAGCACGATTGCGCGCATGAATATTGTCATGGGTTCCGGCCTGGCGTTTGTGCTGGTGATGACTGTAACGCTGTTTGTCAGTCTGGCCGCTGAATGGCTGGTGGGGCGTGGTCCCGACCCGCTCATGCGTATTTTCGGCCAGTTAATCATCGCGGGCATCATCACGGGTCTGGTGTTCCGCTATTTTTATGTGCAGCAGCGCCTGCGTATTCAGGAGCAGGCGGAATTGCAGTCGCGCATCCAGGCGCTGCAGTCACGAATACGTCCACACTTTCTGTTTAACAGCATGAACATCATTGCCAGCCTCATTGCCACGGACCCGGATACCGCGGAAAGTGTAGTGGAAGATCTGTCTGAGCTGTTTCGCGCCAGCCTGAACGATGCGGGTAATCAGGTCTCGATTGCCGAGGAACTGGATCTTTGTGAGCGGTATCTGCGAATCGAAGCCCTGCGTCTCGATGAGCGGCTGCATCTGCAGTGGGATGTGGCGCCGTTATTGCCCGGCACGCGTATACCTTTGCTGACCTTGCAGCCGCTGTTGGAAAATGCCATTTACCACGGCATTCAACCCCTGCCGGAAGGCGGTACGATAGAGCTGCAGCTGAGGTATGAAGATGACTACGTTGTGGTGAAGATTGTTAATCCGGTACCACCGCCTAACCAGGTGAGTGAATCCCAGGGTAATCGTATGGCGCTGCAGAATATCCGCAGTCGCCTGGCTGTGCTGTATGGAAACCAGGCGACACTGCATGCGGATACTCAGGGAGAGACATTTGTGACCGAGCTGCGCTTCCCCGCGGTGGCAACGTCGGTATAGCAGGACATTTTTAGCAGGACTTTTTTCAGGACTGGGCGATGCGCATTCTTATTGTTGATGATGAAACTCTTGCAAGAGATCGGCTCAAACGCATGTGTGAGGGTGATGATCTGCACGAAGTGGTTGGAGAAGCTGCAAACGGGGCGCAGGCAGTACAGTTGTGCAATGAGCTGCAACCGGAACTGGTGTTGCTCGATATCCGCATGCCAGGTATGGACGGACTTGAAACCGCGCGCCATTTCTTAGGTCTGGATGATCCACCGGCGGTAATTTTCTGCACCGCTTATGAGGAGCATGCTATTGCTGCTTTTGATCTTCAGGCAGTTGGCTATCTGCTCAAGCCGGTACGTAAAGATAAGTTGCTCGATGCTCTGGGTAAGGCTGTCCGCCTCAACCGCGCTCAGTTGTCCGCTCTGCAGAACGATAACCAGGCCCGCCGCTCGCATATCTCTGCGCGCACACATAAGGGCATTGAGCTGATCAACCTGGATTCTGTGCGTTACTTTCAAGCAGACCAGAAATACGTCACGGTGCGCTACAGCGAAGGCGAAGTTATTGTTGATGAGACTCTGCGCGAGCTGGAAACCGAGTTTTCTGACCTGTTTGTGCGGGTGCATCGCAATGCCCTGGTTGCCATGCAGCACGTGGAAGCGCTTGTTAAAGATGGCGATGGCCATGTGGCTGTAAGATTGCAGGGTTTGGATGAGACCATAGCGATCAGTCGGCGACATCTACCCGGTGTCCGTAAAGTAATAAAAAGGTTGTAATGACAAAAAAAATCACCATCGCCACACGTGAAAGCAAGCTGGCACTATGGCAGGCGCACTTTGTGCGGGACCAATTGCTGGCTGCTCACGCTGACCTTGAAGTGGAGCTGTTGGGTATGACCACCAAAGGCGACCAGTGGCTGTCTGCGCCACTCAGCGAAGTTGGCGGTAAAGGCCTGTTTGTGAAAGAGCTGGAGCAGGCCATGCTGCAGGGGCGTGCAGATATAGCGGTGCATTCAGCAAAGGATCTGCCAGCACAGATGCCAGATGGGTTTGTCCTGCCGGTGCTGGCTTATCGCGCGGATGTTGAAGATGTCCTGGTTTCAAATTTTGGTGCATTGCAGGACTTACCCCAAGGTGCAAAAGTAGGCTCTTCGAGTTTGCGCCGCAAAACACAACTGTTGTCTATACGACCGGATCTTGACGTGCAGCCGGTGCGCGGCAACGTCGGTACGCGCCTGCAGAAACTCGAAGATGGCCACTATGATGCCATTGTGCTCGCGGCAGCTGGATTAGATCGCTTAGGCATTTCCCGCAGTAACTGGCATACCCTTGATGTTGCTATGTGCCTGCCTGCACCGGGCCAGGCTGCCCTGGGTATTGAGTGTCTGGATAATCCGGAGGTGCTCGCGCTGTTGGCAGCCCTTGAAGATCAGGATGTTGCGCGCTGTGTGACTGCGGAGCGTGGTATCAGCGCCGGGCTCGGTGCAGATTGCTCCCTGCCGGTCGCCGCTCTGGCAAAATCAGTAGACCGTGAAACACTTGAGCTGACTGCGCTGATTGGCAATGCAGATGGCAGTCGAATTTTACGCAGCCGCGTTCGCGGTGCAGACCCGGAAGTGATTGCGGCCACCGCGGTGGCCGAGTTGCGGGATCAGGGTGCAGATGACATTTTGCAGCAGTTGCAGCGCACACACTGACCGACTCTGTGCAAAAGGTTCTTATTACACGTAGTGAACCCGGCGCCAGTCAGCTGGCGCAACTTCTGCAGCAACACGGCTTTGAGGTGATCTGTGCGCCCCTGGTTAAAATTGTTGACGTGGCGCCAGCGAACATTCTCCAACTGGGCGCTGCACCTGCACCTGCACCTGCACCTGCACCTGCACCTGCACCTGCGGCGCTGGCCGCTGTACCCGTCACCGAGCCGGATGTGGTGATATTTTTGTCTGCCCATGCGAGCAGGCGTTTTGTTGAAGCAGGTTTATTAAGTCGAATCCAGGGCTCAAGCTGCCTTGCCGTGGGCGCTGCAACTGCGGCCGTTCTGCGCGCAAATGGGGTGATTGTGGACGTGCCCGAGCAGAATACGACAGAGGGTTTGCTCGAAATGTCGGTCATCAAACAACTTTCCGCGCAGAACTCTGTCTGGTTGATCGCCGGTGTCGGCGGCCGACCAACCCTGGCGGAAAGCCTCTACAATCTGTACCACTGCAGCGTCGTAAAATTTGAGTTGTATCAGCGTCTCAGCCTTGATTTACCCACCATCGACGTAGACGCTGTAGGTGCGGTCGTAGTTTCCTCCGAGGCGAGCCTTGAAGTGCTTGCCCAGCAGTGGCCTGGTTCAAAACAGGTGTTTCTGATTGTGCCGTCAGCGCGCCTTGCGGCGAGTGCCCGGGCGTTGGGTTTCAAGCAGGTGAGGGTGTCGCAGAATGCGTCACCCGAGGCAACGTTGGATATTTTGCAGCCGCTAAAGGCTGCAAAGCGTTTACAATAGGTCTTGTCGGGGTTGCTCGGCAAAACTTCAAAGACGGAAAGCAACAGAAAGTATGAATGAGCAAAAACCACCGGCTGATGATCCCGAGACATCTCCTGCTGATAATGACCACCTGGACGCTGCAGATGCAGAAATGCAGGATACACAGGACCAGTTACAGGATTCCCAGGCCGAGGCCGGCAGTGCGCCCGAATCATCGGCGACCTCGGCTGCCGAAGAAGATGCAGCGTCAGCAACAGAGGCTGAACCGGAACCGGAACCGGCTGGCGCGCCTGAGGCGGATACACCGCCGCCTCCACCTGCCAAGGCAAAAGGCCGATTCCTTGCTTTCCTGGCATTGTTGCTTGCATTGGCGGCAGCTGGCGGCGTGGGTTATCTGTATTACGAGTTGGTTTATCTCAAACCACTGGCGCAAATAGAACAGCTCGACAACAAGTTGGACAGCCGCTATTCAGGGCTGGAGAGTCAGTTGTCTCAGCGCATTGCGACGCTGCAGGCATCCACCGAAAGCGCCATTGAAACTGTTCGCGGGGAGCAGGCCGAGCGACTCGCCAGCAACGAAGATGCGGTGCTCGAATCTCTAAATGAAGCTCTGAATGCAGCACCGCCTTCGCAACGCGAGTGGAAACTCGCGGAAGCTGAGTATCTGTTGCGGGTAGCCAACCACCGGGTGCTGATGGAGCAGGATTCCAATGGTGCGTTGAGTTTGTTGCAGGCCGCGGATCAGATCATGGCGGAACTGGATGACTTTGCGTTGTATCAGGTGCGCGCCCGTCTGGCAGACGAGATCATTGCTTTGCGGCAGGTGCCACGTGACGATTTACAAGGCATCTATCTGCGCCTGGAGGCGATCAAGTCGCAAGTCGATGCTCTGCCTCTGCCCGAACCTGCCTATGTTGATGCGCGCCGCCAGGCAGCAGTGGAAGAGTCTATCTGGCAGACACTGGCGAATGAGCTTAAACAGTTTGTACGTATCCGACCTATTTCCGGCGAAGAGGCGCTGAAACCTCTGCTTGCCCCTGAAGAAGAACGTTATCTGGAGTTGAACTTGCGTTTGGCTCTGGAGCAGGCGCAACTGGCTACGCTGAAACGTCATCAGGATGTTTTCGAGCAGAGCTTGTTAAACGTGCGCAGCTGGTTGGTTGATCACGCAGATACAACCGATGAACGCACCACCGTTTTGCTCAGCCAGGTTGATGAGTTGCTGATAGTTGAGCTGGCGCGGCCGTTACCGGATATTTCCGGTTCTCTGAATGAACTGCTCTCTATCCGCCGGAGCGGTTCATGAAATTGTTTGTCTTTGCTGTGCTTGCCGCCATTGTGCTGGGTGGGCTGGTAGGCACGCTGCTGGTCCGGGACCCGGGGTACGTGTTAATTGCCTATGCGGACACCGCGCTGGAAACCAGTTTATGGGTCGCGGTGTTGCTGTTCATTGGCCTTTATATCGCCGTACGTCTGATCAGCGTGGTTATTTTCAAACTGACGCAGGGTCAGTCAAAAGTGTTGCGCTGGCGTTCAGGTCGTAAAGTCCGCGCCGCTCGATCACAAACTGTAAGAGGCCTGCTGGTAATGGCCGAAGGGCGCTGGGCTGACGCAAAGAAGCTGTTAGCAGGTGCTGCAGATGACGTTGAGACACCGTTGATCAACTATCTGAATGCCGCGCGTGCTGCGCACGAATTGGGTGAGTTGAACGAACGGGATGAGTTTCTCAAACGTGCGCACGAAACAACGCCAGGCGCTAAATTTGCGGTTTCATTGACCCAGGCTGAATTCAATATTCATGAAGGGCGTTACGAGCAGGCGCTGGCGGCCCTGTTGCTGTTGCGTAAACGGGCACCCAAACACGGTGCGGTTCTGGCGATGTTGGCACGCTGTTATGAAGCTCTGCCGGATTGGCAGGCGCTGACCCAGTTGATGCCTGATTTGAAAAAGAACAAAGCTTTGCCCGAGTCTGAACTGCATCGTATGGAGCAGGCGGCATGGCAAGCTAAGTTGTTAGCGGCTGACAGCAGCGCCGGATTATGGAAGAAGCTGCCTAAATACCTTCGCACTGAGACGCCTCTAATGTGCAAATGGGTTCGCCAACTGATGAAAGACAATAAGCCGGATGAAGCAGAGCAGGTCATCCGACAGGCACTGGGTCAGCAATGGGATGCTGAGCTCGCGCAGATATATGGCGAATTGCACAGCAGTGATCCAGCACGGCAGTTGGCCGTGGCACAAGGTTGGGCGAAGCAGCGGCCTGATGATGCCGAAGTGGCTTTGACGGTCGGTCGGCTGTGTTTGCAGAACGAAAAATTTGAACAGGCCAGAGAATACTTTGAACACAGTTTGCGCCTGGCGCCCGGCGATGCTGTGTACGGCGAGTTAGGGCGTTTGTGTGTGGCCATGGGAGATGAGCGTCGTGGTACAGAATATCTGTTGCTGTCGCTGAGTAATCTGTCAGACCTGCCTCAGCCAGCCGAGCCTATGTTGCGAAAAACAAACGTCTCTTAGGACGCCAGCCAACAACCTGCCTATGATCGAGGGGCGTACGCGTAAGCGTCCGCGTGAAGCTGCTGGGGGCTGAAGCCGGTTGCTTCTAACAGGTCGGTTACGGTGTAAACAAACCCCGGACTGCCTGCAATCAGCACATAGGCATTGATATATCTGTGTGCGTGCCGGGTCAACCAGACCATACCTTCGTTTTCAGGTGTGCGCCGGCTATCTATGCATATGTGCAGTTCTACGTTCTGCATAGCGCTTAAAAATTCTTGATCGTAGATGTCCTGGGGCTCGTCTGCACACCACAATATAACTGTGGCGCCCTCGGCATTTATAGCCGCACGGTGCTCAGCGCAGCTGAACGCTTGCGCGGCGCCACTACCACCAGCAATGATGAACAAATCCTCAAGGGGTTCGCCACTGCCTACTTCGCCCTGGGCGGGTGTAATGTGCAGCTGTTGGCCTTCCAGCAGAATGTTTAAAGTTTCGGCTTCGCTGGCACCTGTTACGGGTCGGTAATGTAATTCCAGCTCAGGCAGACGTCCTGGTGCTGATGCGATAGACATGGGTATTAACTGACCATCGGGCGCAACTATATTCAGGTATTGTCCTGACGTGAAACTGTATGGTTGGTCTATGTGCAACCGGATTCGGCGCACTGGATTGCCGCTGATGCCAATGATATCAGCGGCAATGGAAGCGTTTTGCAATGCCTTTCTCGCAGGTCTTTTAACGCCGCATGGAGTTGAAAAATTCTTCGTTGGTCTTGGTTTCTTTGAGCTTATCCATGAGGAACTCAATGGCGGCGACATCATCCATGTCATGCAGGAGTTTGCGTAAAATCCAGACACGTTGTAATTCTTCTTCACCCATCAGCAATTCTTCGCGTCGGGTTGCAGAGCGTCGGATATTGATGGCCGGATAAACGCGCTTCTCTGCAATTTTGCGTTCCAGGTGCAGTTCCATGTTACCGGTACCTTTGAACTCTTCGTAGATCACTTCATCCATCTTCGAGCCGGTATCAACCAGTGCAGTGGCGACAATCGTCAGGCTGCCCCCTTCTTCGATGTTACGTGCAGCGCCGAAGAATCTTTTCGGGCGTTCCAGGGCGTGGGCATCGACACCACCGGTCAGGACTTTGCCCGAACTGGGCACAATGGTGTTATAGGCGCGCGCAAGGCGGGTAATGGAATCCAGGAGAATGACCACGTCTTTCTGATGTTCGACCAGTCGTTTGGCTTTTTCGATGACCATCTCTGCCACTTGTACGTGACGCGATGGTGGTTCGTCGAAAGTTGAAGCCACAACTTCGCCGCGCACAGAACGCTGCATTTCGGTGACTTCTTCCGGGCGCTCATCGATCAATAGAACAATCAATACAGTTTCAGGATTGTTGTTAGTAATTGATTGGGCAATATTCTGTAGTACCAGCGTTTTACCTGCTTTTGGCGGCGATACGATCAGTGCACGTTGACCTTTACCGATAGGCGCTACGAGGTCGATGATCCGTGCGGTCAGGTCTTCGGTACTGCCGTTGCCACGCTCTAAGGTTAGGCGATCATCGGGGAACAGGGGTGTCAGGTTTTCAAAGAGGATTTTATGTTTTTTAGTGTTCGGTTCGCTGAAGTTGATTTCATCAACTTTCAACAATGCAAAATATCGCTCACCGTCTTTTGGTGGTCGAATTTTGCCTGCGATGCTGTCACCCGTACGCAGGTTAAAACGGCGCACCTGACTGGGAGAAACATAAATATCGTCCGGACCTGCCAGATAAGAACCTTCCGGAGAGCGTAAAAAGCCAAAACCATCCTGTAGAATTTCCAGCGTGCCTTCACCGTAAATATCTTCGCCGTTTTTGGATTGTTTGCGGACGATTGCCGCGATGACTTCCTGTTTGCGTGAGCGGCCAACGTTGTCGAGACCCATTTCCCGGGCCATTTCAACAAGTTCGCCAACAGGCTTGCTTTTAAGATCGGATAAGTTCATTGCCATGTGTAGTGCTCTACTCGATTTTGCGAGTTAGTTAAGTTCTTTATCTATTGTCAGTCGTGTCTTTGACCGTCTTTTTAATCGTTTCTTTTTTTAAAAAAATGACAGACAGGTCTGATAACGATTGGATAAAGAAGGGGGATGTGTCGCTTGGGGACCGCTTGTCTCGCGGGCTTTAATAAGCGAACAGCGTTAGTGTAGTGCTTTCGAGGCACGGGTCAAGGGTTTAATTACCCTAGAAATGTGATCGGTTCACAGTATTTTCAGGAGAGGAAATGGCGATTTCTGGTGAATGTTTTTGTGGCCAGGTGGCTTATGAGATATCTGGCAGCCTGCGTGATGCACGTTCGTGCCATTGTTCACGATGTCGTAAAGCATTCAGCTCGCAGGCTTCTGCTTATGCGTTAGTAGAAGCGGCTGAGTTCCGATGGGTCCGGGGTGCTGAGCAACTCACATCTTACGTCAGTAATGCTGGTTTTGGTTTGCAGTTTTGCAAACACTGCGGCTCGACGCTGTGTGGCACCTTTAATGGCCAGGTACACGGCGTTACGTTGGGGTGTATAAATGGCGATCCTCAAATTGAAATTGGCTATCATATTCACGTTGATTCGAAGGCTGTTTGGGAAGTGATGCCCGCTGATGTTACTCAGTTTGGCGGGCCGCCTGTTGAAGTGAGTGACTGAAGCATGGTTGAAGGTGAATGCAATTGTGGTGCCATTGCGTTTGAGGTTGATGCTGAGCTCAAGGATGTCTTCATCTGTCATTGCTCAATCTGTCGGCGCGCAACGGGTAGCAACGGCATAGCAGTAGTTGTCGTTGAGAGAGAACTCTTCTCCTGGGTCCGCGGTGAATATCAGGTTAATACGTGGAAAAAGCCCGCAGCTGACTGGCAAGCCTGTTTCTGCAAGATTTGCGGGTCGCCGGTACCCGGTATCAATGATGAAACGCGAATGTATATTCCTGCCGGATTAATAACGGCAGGTGGTGATGCGCTCGCTGTTGCGCATCATATATGGGTGGGTTCCAAGGCTCGCTGGGATACAATTGGTGATGACGGACAGTGCCATGAAACAGCGTATCAGGAATAGACCCTTTTGATGTGTAAGCGATTGCTTGTTACTACTTGTCTTATGGTGTTGGCAACAACCGCGCGTGGCACAAGCCTGCAAATCGAAGAAATCAGTTTTGTTAGTAGAGGGACCCTTCTATCCGGCTCTATCGTATTTCCGCTTGATCAAAAACTTCGTGCAGGTGTTGTTTTTGTCCATGGCTCAGGAAAACAAACGCGCAACATACGGTTGGCTGAGAAGTTCGCCGAGTTCGGAATTGCTGCACTGGTGTACGATAAACGCGGCGCTGGATTGTCTGGTGGAAACTATGAGGCTGCACAGCCAGTCAGTGAAAAGAACCTAACCTTGCTTGCTGATGATAGCCATGCCGCCCTGAATGCGCTTGCCGCTCATACCGCTTTAGAAGATATCCCCGTTGGCCTTTCCGGCATCAGCCAGGCGGGCTGGATTGTGCCGCTAGCGGCCGTGAAAAGCGAAGTTGTAGATTTTATTGTTCTGTGGAGCGCTCCGGTTTGTAAGGTGAGCGAGGAGGATGTTTTCAGCAGCTATACATCTGATCTGGATGACACAAAGGCCCCCAGTTATGCAGAGGCGCTCCGAGCAAGACGCACGCCTTATATTTGGCCTGACTTTCTCGGCGACGACACTGACCCCGCTGTCAGTTTGGCAAAACTAGATATTCCTGGGCTTTGGATATTTGGCGCTAAAGATGGCAGCGTCCCAACGGATCTGTCTATACGCAGACTTGAAGAGCTGCAACAAGCCGGACATCAGTATGAGTATGTGCTCTTTTCAGGCGTTGGCCACAACAATATGCGCGAAACTTTTGCTGTGGCAGCAGACTGGATAAAGAGAAGCCTCAACTAGGCGAAAGCGCTACAGACCCGAAGGCCATGCCCGTCTGGCAACTGTCATGCCTGACAGATAACCCAGATATGCTGTCACCATCCAGATAGCAATTGCGACGCCGCCATCGGTCCAGTAACTGAACCAGATCATCGCGGCGATGAAATTGCTAAGTTGATTCAGTAGTAAAGAAATGACAAGGCTCATCACACCGTTTTCAAACAGCGTGCTGAAACCCGGAAAGTTCGAAAATAAATCGATCAACTCATTCAATTCTATAACCAGGAAAGTCCAAAGGGCGGCACAGCCATAAAACCCCCCGCCAAACTGCATCCACTTTGTTTGTACCAGGTCTACAGGGAGCGCTCTATTCTGCTTCCGGTCTTTGTGTATCTTCTTGATGTTTTTTGCCACGGTTTTGCTGTCATGGCTGCGATCGAGCTCACCCCTGGCGTAGAGTTTGCTGAGTACAAACCAGCTGAGGCCCCCAACCGGTAGACCGAGTTTCAATGTGGCTTCAAGAATTTCCAGTATCAATCAGGTTCCCCTGGCGCCCAGGGTATGTCGGGAAACCCGGGCTGCCGTTCGAATTCGTCCATACAATGACGGAAAACCTTACCGCTTGCGAGCTGGTCCAACTGTGTGATCAGGGTCTTAAGTGAAGCGTCTTCATTTCGACAGCAACTGACGTAGCTTGTCAGCGTGTCCATGAGTGAATTCCTGCCTTGAATATTCAATTGCTGGGCAACTTGTTTGAAGTAGACAGCACCACCCCAGTACATGGTGGGATATTGGCCCATGGCGCGCAGTTTTGGTGCTGCCTCGGCAAACGGGAGATCGTCAAGTGCAAATCGATCCTGTGCCCGGCCAATACGCTTCTGATAGCGTTGCTGTGCATCTGCGCTTGTGAGCACACCCATCTGCATCATGACCTGATACTGCATATAACTGGCGAAGCCTTCAGCGAACCAGGCGTTCTTTCTGCCCAGGTAAGGGATCACAAGATGGCTGAGTTCGTGGGGTGCGGTCCAGTCCTGATCAAAGTCCTGTTGTGAAAAGCTCAGGTCAACGTAGAAATGTACACCCTGGGTTTCACCACGTTGAGTATGCGCCCATGGCACCGGTTCACGTGATCCATCGCGGCGATGAAAGAATATGTGCCGAGTGAAAGGAAGTTCACCAACGAGTTCTGTTAAAGCCGTGTCGGTGCGGATTATCCAGTTCTGCAGGCGCTGCTGCTCTGTGGGACTGAACGAGTCTTCCCAGTGAAATCTGAGGTTGGTGTTCTGGCTGTATGCGGGCAGGCTTATAAAGATGGCGCACAGGGCAAGACAGGTGTTAGAGAGGAAGCGATTGCCTGAAGGTGTCTGCATGGCCAGAGCATACCGTTTAAACGGTATGCTTTGCCTTACGCTGTCATTGCGGGCCGTATAACTGTCGGACCGTGCGCAATCCGCGGCCTAGATATTGCTGTCTAAGAACGCCTGCAATTGTGACTTTGACAGTGCGCCAACTTTAGTGGCTTCCACTTCACCGTTCTTGAACAACATCAGCGTGGGGATACCACGGATGCCGTACTTTGGTGGCGTGCCTTGATTAGCGTCTATATCAATTTTGCATACCTTTATGCGATCGCCATATTCGTCTGCAATTTCGTCCAGGATCGGGGCAATCATCTTGCAAGGGCCACACCATTCTGCCCAGTAGTCAACCAGAACGGGCTTGTCGGAGTTGATGACGTCTGTATCAAAGGCGTCGTCGCTTGTATGTACGATGCTGCTCATGTGAATGTCTCCAAGAATATTCAGGCGCGGAGTTTACCACCTTGCTGCGTTATCATGTACTACACATTCTCAGGTTAGGCATAAACCATTTGAACCGTGACGTAAGGCACGCCTGGGCTGCGTTGGATCTTGGCTCAAACAGTTTCCATTTGTTGATCGTGCAGCCCCACGGCGCCAGTTTTATTGTGCATGAGCGGCTCAAGGAAAAGGTCCAGTTGCTCGGTGGGTTTAAAGATAACTGTCTGGCTGAAGATGCTCAGCAGCGGGGGCTTGCCTGCCTGCGTAGATTTGCGCAGAGACTCGCTGCGATACCCGCAGAGCGCCTTGTGGTTAAAGGTACCTACGCGCTGCGGCAGGCGCAGAACACGCACAGCTTCCTGCAGGCAGCGCAGGAAATTTTGCGCGTACCCGTGCAGGTGATCAGCGGTGATTACGAAGCTCGCCTGATCTATGCTGCGGTCACCCACCATGCCAGCACTTCGAATGCGCCCCAGCTGGTGCTCGACATTGGTGGTGGCAGCACCGAGTTGTGCTTTGGTTTTGGTCCAGCGGTGGAAGCGGCGGCTTCTGTCGATATAGGTTGTGTTGCGTTCAAAGATCGTCATTTCAGTGAAGTTGATCAGGCGCAAGGTTTTGCTGCAGCAAAGCGCGCTGCAAAAAACGCATTGCTTCAACAGTTGGCGGACAGCCCAATATCCGCATCTCAGTTGCGCGCCGCGAGCGCCGGTGTGTTTGGCACCAGTGGCACGGTCGAGTCTATTCAAACCGTATCCGAGGCAAACGGCTGGTCGCGAGGTTGTATTACCCTTGAAGCGATGCAGCGCCTGGAGCGCGCTATTGTCGAAGATCGCTGGGTACTGGAAGCGGGCTTGCCGGGTCTGCCACCGGATCGCGCAGATATTTTTCCTGCCGGTGCGGCGATCCTGAGCGCGTGTTTTGAGGTGCTGGAAATCGAACAACTGACCTATGTTGATGTATCTTTGTTACAAGGCATTATTTGTGAGCAACTGGTGATCGATACACAGCGCGACGTGCGCGAAGATACCGTAGAGCAATTGCGTAAACGTTTTGCCATAGATGCAGAGCAGGCGCGCCGGGTGACAACAACAGCATTGAGTATCTACGACCAGTGCGCAGACTGGTGCGGGGGTGGTGAAGAGTATCGTGACCTGTTGCGTTGGGCGGCTAACCTGCATGAGATAGGTGTACACATCGCCGCGCGACATTATCACCGGCACGGGGCTTATGTGGTTAAACACACAGAATTGCCGGGCTTCAGCGAACACCAGCAAAGTGTGCTGGCTTTATTAATCCGTGGTCACCGACGCAGTATGCCGGGCTTAGCATTCCGCATTTTTGACACCGACGAAGCGCGTATTCTGTTGCGCCTGGTTGCACTGTTGCGTATTGCGGTGATTCTGGAACGCAGTCACAACGACGCGGATTCTCCCCAGCTGCGCTTCAGAGCAGCGGACAACCGGGTCGAATTGATTTTTGCACAGAGCTGGCTATCCAACCATCCACTGTCGATGCGTGAGTTGGAAGTCGAGAGCCAACAGCAGGCAGTGGTTAATCTGGAACTGGTGTTTGCCGACGCGCCAGCGGGTTAGCGCGCTAGTCCTTCAGTGCCTGGGCGACCTGTTTCGCGAAATAGGTTAATACCCCATCAGCACCTGCCCGTTTAAAACAGACCAGAGACTCCGTAATAACGGCAGGCGTCAGCCAGCCATTATTGATTGCTGCCATATGCATCGCGTATTCACCGCTCACCTGATAAGCAAAGGTTGGCACGGCGAAAGTGTCTTTCACCCGGCGAACAACATCAAGGTAAGGCATACCTGGTTTAACCATCACCATGTCGGCGCCTTCTTCAATATCCAGCGCGATTTCCTGCAGCGCCTCATCACCATTGGCAGGATCCATCTGATAGGTTTGTTTGGAACCGCTGCCCAGATTGCTGCTTGAACCCACGGCGTCGCGAAACGGGCCGTAATATGCGGAAGCATATTTCGCGGAGTAAGCCATGATTTTGGTGTTGATGTGCTCAATGTTATCCAGCGCGCTGCGGATAGCGCCGACGCGGCCGTCCATCATGTCTGACGGGGCGATAATGTCGGCGCCTGCTTCACTGCACACCATGGCTTGTTTGCACAATGCAGCAACGGTGATGTCGTTGGCAACGTAGTTATCGGCATCAACAATACCGTCCTGGCCATGGGTGGTATAAGGATCCAGCGCGGCATCGGTGATCACACCCAGTTCAGGTACCGCGGCTTTAATCGCTCTCACGGCGCTGGGTACCAGGCCTTCAGGATTGTAAGCTTCTGCGCCGTCAAGTGAGCGACGGCTTGGGTCCACGTTCGGGAACAGAGCGATGGCTGGAATGCCAAGTTCGGCGACTTTTTCCGCTTCTGCCGCAATCAGATCCACACTCAAACGCTCGATTCCCGGCATGGACGCGACATCTGTGCGCTGCTGGGTGCCTTCGATAATGAACATTGGATAGATCAGATCATTGCAGGTCAGTTCGTTTTCACGCACCAGGCGACGGATAAAGTCATCTGTGCGATTGCGGCGCAGCCGGGCGGAAGGAAATTGGCGCATGGCGACCTCTTAAAAATACCAGTGGGTGTTAAGTAAAGCGGTTAACAATGTCTTTGCGGCAGCGTTTTACAGCTTGCCGGAACAGCGTCTGATCATCGAACATCTTAGCGGTTAACAGCGCCCCGTATAAGGTAGATAACAATTGCCGTGCGTCCTGCGCTGCGCGCTTGGGCTTGCAGCCCGCTTCTTCAAAAACCGCAGTCAGCGCATTGTGCCAGTCGGCAAACTGCGTCGCGATGTTCTGGATCTGCTGTTCATCATCTGCGGATGCTGTGCGGTGGTGGCTGAATACGGCTAACAGACAGTCGGTGCTGCCGTTTCGAGTGTAGCTTGAAAAGCCTTTGATGAAATCTTCCAGCCGCTCGGCCGGCGCGTTAGAGCCGTGTAATTGACTGAACGCCTGTCGTTGCAGGTCCGCTATGGCGTGGCGGACCAGTACTGCGGACATTTCGGGCTTGCCGCCTGGAAAGTGATGATAAAGAGAGGCTTTGCTCAGGCCGGTTGCCTCAGCCAGGTGGTTCAGCGTTGCGCCATCATAGCCACGGGCGACAAACACTGAGCTTAACTGCTCAATCAGCGCGGCTTTACCTGCGGTTGAATAACTCATGGTCTGTATTTTCGGTCCTAACCTGGTCACCTTTTGGTTCAGGTGAGACTGTACTGGGTTTTTTTGCACTTTTGTGACGAAAACTGCGACCCTATGGACTTTTCAGGCATCTACTGAGTATGTCGGGATTTTCAGACATTCAAATACCGCCGGGGGTAGCGAAAGGGGTGTTGCGTGGTGATCGTAACGCGCTGGCGGATGCCTATCGCCTGCTCGCCCGTGCGGTGATGAATCTTGCCAGTCGAATCCTGCAGGATCGGGGCCTGGCTGAAGAAGTTGTGCAGGATACTTTCATCGATCTGGTCGAAAAAGCCGGACAGATTAAAGATGTCGACGCGATTCGGCCCTGGGTACGCAGAGTGGCGGTTAACCACTGCCTGATGCGTCTGCGTTCCCCCTGGCATGCCCGCCGTAGCGATGCCGACGCAGAAGAAATTTTTGCGTCCAGAGAGCCGGATAACTCGATGGAGTGGGCTGTTCAACTGCCCACCCTCGAACACGCGCTGGGTGCTTTGTCAGATGAGGCGCGCACGGTGGTGTGGCTGCACGATGTCGAAGGCTACACCCATAAAGAAATAGCTGAGTTGATGGGTAAGACGGCGAGTTTTTCGAAATCCCAGTTAGCGCGAGCTTACGAAAAGCTGCTGAACTGGCAGAAACAACTCAACAGTGAACAGGCGCAGTTAGAAGACACTGCGGTAAAACAGGAAATAGATGGTCAACATGCAAAAACGACCTTGGGAAATATCGGATCTCCTTGCACTTCGTGATGGTCAACCGCGCAGCGCAAATCTGCAGGTAGACGATCCGGAAGTCATCGAGCAACTCGAGCAGATTCGGGGGCTTGGCATTGCGCTGCAGTCTCTGCCGGACGTACCCGTTGATGACGAGATCTGGCTGCAGGCTATGCCTGCGCCTGTAAAGCGCAGTATATGGCTGCGTTATCCTATGGCTACCGCTGCCTCGGTGTTTTTTGCTTCAGTGGTTGGCATGTTTATGCTGTTTGGCGGGCCGGTTTCGGATATCGGAAACAACACAGGTCCGGTGCAGTACACCAGTTTAGATTCGATGGATAACAGCGGTGCTCAGTTGGCAGCGTTAATGCGCCAGTCGCGAGATTTAGAGCAACGTTTGTATGGCGTTAACCCACTGGCGCAAGCGGCGGATGGACCGCATGCCACCTACCAGGGTATGCCGGCGCCGACTGCGCTGGAGGAAACTTTGTTGTTTCGCCTTGCAGATGTTGACGGGCAGATTGCGCGTTTGTATGACGCGGCAGACATGGACAGTGCGCAGCGCCAGGGCCTGTGGATGAAACGCGTTGAATTGTTAGAAAGTTTGGTAGCAATCCGTAGCGGTGATGCGGCGCGATTGTTCGATAACGGCAGGAGTATGTAATGTTTCGAGTATGTATGGCTTTCCTGATGATGTTGCTTTTCAGTCCGGTAGCTTTGGCCGGTGATGAAGAGTTAGACAAAGAAATAGCCGAAGTCCAACGTAATCTGGATGAGTCAGCTCGGATGCTGGCTGAGTTATATCGTCAGCGGTATTCTGCTGGGGAAGGCAAAGACCGGGCGATGTTAGGGATTCTGCTGGGTGATGGCGCTGCTGACGGCGGCGTTGAGCTGTTTGGTGTGACCCCTGGCGGTGGTGCGGATCAGGCGGGCCTCGCTGCGGGTGACCTCATTGTAAAAATGGATGACCTGTCTATCAGTGAAGCTAAGAGTCCGATGCGTGCGCTCTCGAATTATATGAAACAGGTGTCTCCTGGGGATGAGGTGGAAGTAGTCTTTGACCGCAACGGAGAGCGTCAGACTGCAACCGTGACGACGCAGGCGCACTCCGCTCACATGATGACCATGGTGCAGGAAAAAATGGCAAAGCTGGGCGATGTGTTGCCCGTTGATCTTGATTCGCTGGTGCTGATGCCCGATGGTGCGGGACACAAAATGGTGTCCAAGACCATCATTTCCAGACAGTTGATGTCTGTGGATGGTGATCTGGCGAGCTATTTTGATGTTGATGCGGGTGTGCTGGTGGTAGAACCTGCGCCTGGTTCAGCACTGAAAGCGGGCGATATCCTGCTTGCAGTGAATAATGTTGACGTTACCGATCTGGATATGGCCTACAAGCTTCTCGGCGAAGTCGAAGATACAGCTGAAATTGAAGTGAAACGCCGCGGTAAAAACCGCACACTCGACGTCAGCGCGGATGAGCTGCTGGCATCGGCGAACACAACCCAGACGCGCGTAATCCGCATCAATGCACCGGATGAAAACGGTAAAGAAGTGGTTGTTAAGATTGAAGTGACGGACGACTAGCTTTTCTCCAGCAGGCCGGAAACAGAATTCTGCCATTAAATTCTGGCTAAAGAGGTACACTCATGTGCTAGCCAAGCGCAGGAGAGCGTTCTTGAGTCATTTTTTTGTTGTAGTTGCCTTGTTGGTTGCCTTAGGGTCCGCGCTAAATACCGAGGCTGCGCAAACGTCCGACAATGTCACCCGGGCTGCCCCAGATATCACCATCTACCACCTTGAAGGGCGACGTTCGGAACGGATCGTCTGGCTGATGGAAGAGCTAGGCATGCCTTATGAGCTGGTTTTCGAGAGAGGTGATCTCTCCGCTTCCATGGCAAACATCCGTGCGGTTAATCCCGATGTGCCGATGGCGCCAACAGTGCTCATCGGTGATCAGATTCTGGTCGAGTCTGGTGCGATTATTGAAGTTATTCTGAATCGATATGCGCCAGATAAGTTAACACCCGAACTGTTCTCCGCAGACTATGCCAATCACATGATGTGGATGCATTTTGCCGAAGGTAGTCTGGCTGCCCGGTTGTTCTCCGACTATCGGACCTGGTTGCGTAACCCACCTACGGAACGTTCGCGCATGGTCGATTCCGAAGCAACCGTTCAATACGCTGAAAACCACCTGGCTAAACACCCCTGGTTTGGTGGTGAACAGTTCTCTGCTGCTGACATCATGATGATGTTTCCTTTGAACGTGGCAACGGGACTGAATATCGTTGATGAAGCACAGTTCCCTAACGTCGCAGCCTGGAAAAAGAAAGCGGAAGCGCGATCCGCTTATCAGCGCATGTTAAAAGCAGCTCGACCCGATGGCATGATTGGGAATCTGCCCAGGCTGCCTGAACATGCACCATCCGGTCCGCGGTAACGCTCACTCAGTCAAGAAATAACGTTGCGTAAGACTTAAGCCGAAACCTGATCAAGTCTGGTGCTGGATTCGAGCCATTGCTCTTCGGTTTTCGCCAGCGATATACGGATTCTGCCGGCCTCAGCTAACAATTCGTCTAACTCGCTGGCTGGCAGGCTCTCGTATGCTTCCGGGTCGGCCAGCTTTGTTTCGATTGCTGTTAATGAGGTCTGCTCCCGCTGCATCTGCTTTTCCAGTTTGCGTACTTCGTCGCGCAGCTGTTTTAAAGACGCGCGCTGTTTTGCCCTGTCCTGCCGGGCACCTTTGCGGGAATCTGTGTTTGAGCTTTTGCCGTTGGTTACTTCATTCTTGCGCGCAGTGGTATAGTCCTTAAGGTCTCCGTGATAAACATTCAGGGTATGGTTGTCTATCACCCAGAAGTCATCAACGGTTTGATCAAGCATCGTTCTGTCGTGTGAAACAATGACCACAGCGCCTGCGTAGTCCTGCAGGGCCAGGGCCAGCGCGTCGCGCATGTCCAGATCCAGATGGTTGGTCGGCTCATCAAGAATAAGTATTGCAGGTTCATCCAGAGCGATAACAGCCAGCACCAGCCTCGCTTTCTCGCCACCTGACAGAGTGTGTATGGGGCGAGAAATCATGCTTGCGTCAAAGCCCCAGCGTCCGAGATAATCCCGGCACTGCTGTTCACGCCAATGTGGACGCACGTCCTGTAACATCGGCAGGGCTTTTGCTGTTTCGTCCAGGGTTTCAAGCTGGTGCTGTGCGAAGTAGCCGATGTCGCAATTCTGCCCGCGGGTAAGTTCGCCGGCGATGGGCTTTAAGTCACCAACAAGCGCTTTGAGTAACGTTGACTTACCGGCACCGTTGGGCCCCAGCACGCCAATGCGCGCGCCAGGCAGAATAGATTGACCAAGGTCTTCTAAAACCCGTGTTTCACCGTAACCCAGGCAGACATCGCGCAGAGAGAAAAGCGGGTTAGACACTTTGTCGGGGTTTTTGAAGGCGACGGTGTAAGGTGAGTCGAGTTGCACAACAGCGCTGGTCTGCAGACGCTCCAGTGCTTTTATACGGCTCTGGACCTGTTTGGCCTTGCTCGCTTTCGCGCGAAAGCGGTCAACAAATTTCTGGATATGCGCAGCCTGTGCTTCAACTTTTACCTGCACCGCGAGATCCTGGGCCATACGTTCGGCGCGCTGGTTTTCACAAGATGAATAGTTGCCGGTATAAAGCTGGCCGGAACGGTTGGTCAGATACAGGGTGTGGCTGGCGCATGCGTCCAGAAAGGCGCGATCGTGAGCGATCAGAAGAATAGTGCCTTCGAAGCGCATCAACCAGTTTTCGAGCCACATGATGGCTTCAAGGTCGAGGTGGTTGGTGGGCTCATCTAACAACAGCAGGTCGCAAGGTGTCATCAGTGCTTTGGCCAGATTCAGGCGGATCCGCCAACCACCGGAGAATTCACGATAAGGTTTGTTGCTGTCTTCGCTGCTGAAACCAAGGCCAGACATGATCTCCCCGGCCTTCGCGTGGGCTTCATAACCACCAAGGTCTTGAAAGTCGGCGTGCAGCTGAGCCAGTTTGTTGGGCTCCTGAGTGTGTGCAAGCGCTTCTTCAACTTTGCGTAGTTGCTGATGACCGTCAACGACATATTCCAGAGCGGGTCGATCGGTGACCTCGGCTTCCTGCTCCATGTGGCCGACAACCCACTGTGTGGGTACTTCCAGTTCCCCATCATCAATTTCCAGTTCGCCGAGGATCAGTTGAAACAAGGTCGATTTGCCAACGCCGTTGCGGCCTGCAATAGCAACCCGTTGGCCCGGATGCACAATGAAGTTCAGGTGCTCGAAAAGCACCTCCTGGCCGCGTCTGAATTGGAGATTATCTGCCCGTAACATGCTACTAACGTACAGTGATTGAGCGCGCCTGCGATATGCGGGCGCGTATTGCCTAAACGGGTATTATGCCTGGCTTATAGATTGGTTATCAGTTTTTCGCTCAGCGGCACGGGGTTGCAGCTTGGCACGAATGCTTGCCGCGGAACCCGGTTGTACCAGAGCCTGCTCGTCGATCCACTGCACAAGCTGTTTCCATGCCATAGCTTCTTTTCGTGCGGCCCGAACATCTCGCATGTCGACCACTCCCCGGCCTGCCTCTGCAGCATCGGTGTAGACGGGCGAATCTCGGAATTGCGCAACAACCGGAATGTCCAGACAGCCCAGAAAGTGCATGAGTTTGTCATGTGTCTCTGTATTTGGCTGGATACGGTTGGCAATAACCCCCACGGGGCGAGGTGCAGCCCGGTATAAGCGATGGGTTAACAGTTCGGTGATGAAACTGCCGCCGGCACGAATATCGATAGAAGACGGTAACATCGGCACCAGAATCAAATCGGATTGCCTCAACAGGCTTTCCAGGTCGCGCCCGCGCGCGTTGCTGTGGCCGTCAACAATCACGTACTGAGTGGCTTCAGGCAGACGATGATGGAAAGCCTGGGTTTCGTACATGCCCGCGCGTTCGTGCTTGGCAACCAATTGTACCGGCGGTAACTCGGGATCACGTAATTCGGCCCAGTGACTGCTGCTCGCTTGAGGATCGTTGTCGAGTAACGCAACGTTTTTGCCCTGACAGGCGTAGGCAACAGCCAGATTGGTAGCAATGGTGGTTTTACCGCAACCACCTTTGCCATTGATAACCAGAATGCGACGTACAGGTGAATTCATAATCGCCCACCGTTTGAAGATATCGCTTCTTGCAATACCTCAGTCCTTTATAACCAGACCCTAGTGCACCTTTTGGCGTGCGCCGTACACTACAATCCAGCCCCTTTTTCCGCAATTGCGGACATGCGCCAATGTAGACACCCCTGGGTGTTTGAAGCGCATAAAGAAGTAGCCGTTTCTTACAGCTTGCTTCCCCCAAATACAAAGTTCTGCCCGTTCAGCGTCCGCCATCGGCGCTTTTTTTATTTTTTGTGCTCTCCTGATGTTGATCAGGAGGCTGGTCCACTCTGCTTTTATTCTGTCTGCCTGGAATTTCCGCAGACTCAGCTGTGGATAACTATACCAGCGAAAATTTCAATTGCACTACTCACTTAGCGCAGCTTTGCAATGCATAGGTTGAGCTTGTTTTACTTTTTAGGAGCGCTGCAACTGCAGCAGGCGGCCGTCGCCGGACAGTGCCAGCAGGGTTGCCGAGTTTTCCCGAAAGGCGATTTCCAGAATGCTTGCTCCTGTAGGACGCATGGCGTGGCGTGTGCCCGGGTCCCAGGTCTGCAGTGCACGGCCAGACGCTACGTCGTACAAAACAATGCGCCGGTTGGCATACCCTACCGCGAGGAGATTTTCGTCCCTGGAAAAACATGCGGAGACCACGCCGTGATTGATGCCGTTATGCAGGGTGTGTTTGAGGGCGCCGCTGTTGTTGTCCCAGATAGCAACCAGGTCGCCCTGGGCTGCAGTGAAGGAATAGCTACCCTGCTGTGAAAGCGCCACTGCGCGTACAGGGTTATCGTGAATAAATGTATGTCGGGCTGTGCCATTGTTCAGGGTCCATAACACCGCCGTGTAGTCGTCGCTGCCAGTGAGGGCTAAGTCGCCACTGGTGGTGACGTCCACTGCGCCAACCAGGCCTTCGTGCAGCAAAGTGCTTTCGTAGGCACCGCTTACCGCATCAAACAACAGGGCGCTGTGATCTTTGAGACCCAGCAATACATGGCGGTTGTCATTCAGTACAGCGACGTCCATGACCGCACCAGGCGTCGCCCAGTAGTTCAATGCCTGGCCGCTGCTGGTATCCCACAGCACAAGTGTGCGTGGGTCCGTTGTTACAGCCCTTGAACCGTCGGGAGAAAATCCGGCAGCAACCAGTTCAGCAAACTCGCCACTGGCGTGAGACCAGTTAAACAGACGCTCTTTGTCGCTGGTGCGCCACATGCTGGCACCGTGATTCAGGGAACCTACTACGGCCAGTTGGCCGTTTCGTGAGATGGCTCCGGTGTAAAAACCCTGAGTCGCTAATTCCCAGCTACCGCTGGGTTTATCATTGTTGCTACAGGCAGACAGTACCAACAGCCCCAACGTGACGAGTGTTAGCCGAGTCATAACATCAAGCCGCAACGGAGGTGATAACCTCATCTTCAATCTCGAAGCGTACCTCCAATGCGAAGGCTAAGGCTTCCAGATCGGCTTTAATTTTTATCAGTGAAATGGGCTTTGACGTGGTGTATCTGTCGCTGAAACGCAGCGCAAGCTGGGTGGATTTATCGATCGCGGCGAGATGATGTACTTCGGGTGTGCAGACATCCAGAAAGCCAAAATGGCCATAAGAGATATAGTCGACCAGTAATTCGTTGAATCTTTGAGCCAGTGCCTGGACCAGATCGTCGTGCATCGCATCGATACATTTGTTGAGCTTCAGCAGGTAGCTCAGCAGTGCAGAACGGCTGCGTCCTAATTGTTGTGCGATGTCCCGCTCTTTCGTCGGGGCGGTTGTGGTGGCTGTTGCGGACATATCTTTCCCTCGCCTGATGGACCTTCAATGGTCTAGGAAAGATAGCAGTGATCTGCAATTGCGCCAGTTTATTGGCGCGTCATAGATCTAGCGGAAACCGGCTCGCAACTGAGCGAAACACATTGCAAAAAGTGCGACGAAGCCAGCCAGTACCCAACCGGGAATCGATATGCCCAGCAATGACCAGCTTACCGTGGCGCAATCACCGGTTCCGGAAGTCATGGCGACCAGCACGTCGGATAGTGGAAAAGCTTCTAACATGTATTGCAAGTCGGGGCCACAAGCGGGTACCTGGTCAGCGGGCAAGCTCTGCAACCACAGCTGACGAATGGAGAAACCGCCACCGACCAGACACGCTAACATGCCAGTTAACGGATAGATGCCAAGGCGTGGATTGTGTAACAGGCTTGCGTAGATTATCAGGCCAACAATGGCTATCCATAAGCGCTGCATCATGCACAGCGGGCAAGGCGCCAGGCCCATGACGT